CTTGGCTTCCAGTTAGTTAAAAGCTCCCCAGGAATTCCGTCACTTTCCTCTTAACGTCACCAGCCGATCTTTTGGGGGAAGCAGAGGAAGGAAACGGAAGCAATATCAACTCGGGCTGGGGGCTATTTTTGACTTGTCGCTTTCGAGTCGGCTGGGAGGCCAAAGATGCGTATCCACGAGAATGTTCCTCTAAGAATCTCTGCTAGCCTGCCTCTTCGGAAGGAATCTCTGCTAGCCTGCCCTTTCCTAAAGATTCTCTGCTATCCTGCCCTTTCCTAACGAATCTCTGCTAGCTTGCCCTTTCCTAAAGATTCTCTGCTATCCTGCCCTTTCCTAACGAATCTCTGCTAGCCTGCCCACCACATTTTTAGCATTTCTTAGCCCAAAATTTCAGCCGGGTTGACAGCGTGGCGCTGAAGAGTTCACGAGTCCTTTTGGGCCATTTTGTCGTCGAACTGGGCCAGACACATACACGCACCGGGTCATTAGCCCCTCAACTTGGGCCCCAAAAACGCTAGGGCCCATCTAGGGGGGGGCACCACACAAAGAGGAAAAGCCAAAACAAAACTCTACTCGTTTTCGGGGAGAGGGAAAGAGAGAGAGAGAGAGAGAGAGAGAGAGAGAGAGAGAGCTGCAAATCACCCCCCACTCGCCCCATGTGAGGGTGTTTACCCGTGTTCTTTGATTGCGTGCAATCTAGCCTGAGGGCATATTTCGCATTTGGATATCTTTCATTCTCTCTCGCTCTTTCTCTGTCTCTGTCTCTGTCTTTCTCTCTTTCCCTCTCGCTTCAAGGATCTCTGCTAGCTTCACTTTCTCAACCTTTGCCTTTTTTAAGAATTTTGCATTTTAAAGGGTCTAGCAAGTGAAGCGCCTGCCGCAGAATAGTGTCGCTGTCCCTTTAAAGCAGTCAAGAATCTCAGCTCGTGGTTTTCTCTCCCTCGCTCTCTCTCTCTCTTTCTCTCTCTCGCTCTCGTCTCTCTCTCCTGAAATTTCGAACACTTCCAAGTCAACAAATTGCCCAAAACACGACTCCACGACTCCATTGTCTTTTTGATGGCGCCGTTCTGGCGCCAATGTTCAGTAGTTTCTGGGGCTTAAAGTACGCTCCAGTACACTTTACGGAAGTTTTGACGTATTTTCCAGGTTCCTCAAGAAACGCTGCTAGGTTGTGCCTCCGTTCCATAGTGATTTCTGCTAGCTTGCCCGGCTTCTAATGCCAATAGATTCCTTAGAGAAGCATTTCCTCAATAGCCTCTGCTAGCCGATCCGGAAATTTTTAACTACCTAGTGTCACTACCGATTAAAGCCTCCTAAAGGATCTCTGCTAGCTGGCCCATTGGCAAACTGGGATTTTCACGGCTGCTCAGAGTACTGTGGTGTAGGCGTTTTGGTCCCATAGCGGAAAACAGGGTTTCAGACGCGTCTATTTTTTATTGGCTAATCCGGGATTGAAATTTTTGGCGGCGAGAGAGGCGGGAAAGAGAGAGGGAGAGAGCGAGAGAGAGAGAGAGAGAGCCGATCCGTGAATCAACCGGATTTGGTGGTCCGTGGGAATCCGCGAAATCCGCCGCCGAAAAATAAGAATGTTCCTATAATTAGGGTCCAATGCGGGGGTCTGTGCTTCATTCAAGCGGACCGACCGGAAAACTACTTCCAAATTCCTGCAAATTTACCCTTCCAATTTTTGGACCCTCGGCTCTTAAAGAATCTCTGCTCGCTTGCCTAAGTTAGGCTTACGCTTAGGCTGCGCTTAGGCTTAGTCATATGCTTGGGCTTAGGCTTAGTCTCAGGCTTAGGCTGCGCTTAGGCTTAGGCTAGGCTTCGCTTAGGCTTAAGCTTAGGCTTAGTCTTAGGCTTAGGCTTAGGCTTTGGCTTAGTGAATTAGGCTGACGATTAGGCTTCATCGGTAAGCTAAGCAGATCGAGAGAAGAGAGAGAGAAGAGAGAGAGAGAGAGAGAGAGAGAGAGAGAGAGAGAGAGAGAGAGAGAGAGAGGATGAGACAGAGAGAAGCTTTTTTTTTCTTTTTCCAGTTCATTAACGTTCCCCAGAGCATAGAAAATTGGTGAAAAACCTCAAATTACCATCGACAAATCATAAAAACAAGTCCGGCCTTACTCATTCCTGGGGAATCACATCCGTCATTCCTGCCTTTCTCGTCTTTCCGAAGGCCAAAGTAAAAATATTTTCCTGCATGCTAAATGGCGCCCTTTCATCCATATCTATTCACGGCAGCCGGCCGGCTTTTGAAACCCGAAAAACTTTTAATCAGCGGCTACCGACTCGTCTAGTCGGGTTTATATAGTAGTCTTTGGGTCGCTCGGGGGTGCACTATAGTTTACCCGGCGCTCGGGGGGTACTGTAGAAATCTCCTAAAGAATCTCTGCTAGCCTACCCTCCCCATCCAGACAATGGAAGCCCCGGAATTGTAATTTGTTTGCCCGGATTTGATGTGGTGCTTGGCAAATCAGGACCCGGGATGAGTAAGCGGGAGAGAGAGAGAGAGAAAGAGAGAGAGAGAGAGAGAGAAGAAAGAGGAGAATCTTTGCGAGTCCAAATCAGCCATTCAGCTCCTCCTTTGATTCCTAATGACCCTGGCTGGACGGCCATTTTTTTGCGATTTTCTGGGGAAATGGGTTTATTCCAGGTTTAGAGCCGAAATTAAGAGCCTAAGACTAAGCTGAAGCCAACATTTAAGTCTAATCCCAAGCCAAAGCCTAACCTCAGCCTAAGCCTAAACTAAGCCTACGCCTGAGGCTAAGCCTAGCCCTTCTTATTAGTCTTGAAGACCTTTTGCCTTCACAATCCCTTTAAATCATTCCTTGACTACGCTCTAAGAAAATCGGATTTATTTTGCCGACACAGTGCAAATTTCGATTCCCTCAACCGCTACGATTCTTATTTTCGGCATTCACGATTTCGTGATGTCTAATTCCCAGGCGTAGTTGTCCGGTTTCCGATCCACTACATTTTACGGATTCCCCCGGAATCCTGGGGAGGCAAAAATAAAACCTATTTAAGCCGGTGCCTGCCGTCGTGAAGCGTAAGAGTTTTCGGATTAGAATTTGAGGCAGAGAACCGATTTTTAGGTTATTTTAAAGTTCAATGTTTTGTTGAGATTCTTAAAGGATCTCTGCTAGCCTGCCCTTTCCTAAAGAATCTCTGCTGGCCTGCCCTTTCCTAAAGAATCTCTGCTAGCCTGCCTTTTACTAAAGAATCTCTGCTAGCCTGCCCCCGCGCCTCGTTTTAAAGGGACTAGCAAGCCAAAGAACTAATTCTCTAAATTTTCGACCTTTCGGCCTTCCCGGTCCCTTTAAAAACCTCAAATTCCATGATATTCGAGCCGCCGATGCGGGGTGTGCGGAGGAATGTTTTTGACCATCCTCCCCCAAATATTTTGGATCTAATTTCCCCGGAGAGCAGACCCCCCCCTCGCGACACATTCAAAACACATCGCGAATGATGCGCCGGATTTTTCGCCATTTTCTGGATTGAAATCTTCCTCAAGGGTCTAGGCTAGCTTGCCCTGCCGCTTCCGATTTCCTCTATGATCTCTGCTATTCTGCCCCATAGCATGTTGGCCTCCTCAAGAATCTCAGCTAGCTTACGATGCCTTATCTCTAATTCTACCGTAATCCCGGGGATGAAATTTCACGATTTGACACTGATTCGACATAACGTTCTGCTTAGGCTTAGGCATAGGCTTAGGCTTAGGCTTAGGCTTAGACTTAGGCTTAGGCTTCGGCCTAGGCTTCGGCCTAGGCTTCGTTTAGACCTAGGCTTAGGCTTTGCTTTGGCTTAGGCTTAAGCTTAGACTTAGGCTTAGGCTTAGGCTTAGGCTTAGGCTTGGGCTTAGGCTTAGACTTAGGCTTAGGCTTCGGCCTAGGCTTCGTTTAGACCTAGGCTTAGGCTTTGCTTTGGCTTAGGCTTAAGCTTAGACTTAGGCTTAGGCTTAGGCTTAGGCTTAGGCTTAGGCTTAGGCTAAGACTTAGGCTTAGGCTTATGCCTGGGCTTTGGCCTGAGACCTCGGAAATAATCTCTGCTAGCCAGCCCTGCTATTTTGAGCCCAACTACCGTAATCCACTGCTTCCAGCGCCGAGATTTACGACTTTCACGCCGATGCTAGAAATTTCCTGCCTCCCCAAAATGTCTCAAAAATCGGGACCGGCCGGAAACGTGGCGTGTGGCCATCTGGCCTCCAGGCGTTTTCAAGCGAAAGTGAGCCGTTCCGCCCCGGACACTCTATACCCTTAAAAAACGGAGGCGAGCCGGGAAAGGCAAATTCTTGGGAGCCAGCATCCAATTTCGCCATTATTCGTTTTTGGTGCATTTTTGTTTCGATGCAACGAGGCTTTAGTTGGGGCAAGCTAGCAAGGGTTACTTAGGATCTGAAAACCGATGCAAGGGCAGGCTAGCAGCGATCATTTGGGAATGGAATGGGCAGGCTAGCAGAGATCATTTGGGAATGGAAGGGGCAGACAAGCAGAGATCATTTGGGAATGGAATGGGCAGGCTAGCAGAGATCATTTGGGAATGGAATGGGCAGGCTAGCAGAGATCATTTGGGAATGGAAGGGGCAGACAAGCAGAGATCATTTGGGAATGGAATGGGCAGGCTAGCAGAGATCATTTGGGAATGGAAGGGGCAGGCTAGCAGAGATCATTTGGGAATGGAAGGGGCAGGCTAGCAGAGATCATTTGGGAATGCAAGGGCCAGGCTAGCAGAGATCATTTGGGAATGGAAGGGGCAGACAAGCAGAGATCATTTGGGAATGGAATGGGCAGGCTAGCAGAGATCATTTGGGAATGGAAGGGGCAGGCTAGCAGAGATCATTTGGGAATGGAAGGGGCAGGCTAGCAGAGATCATTTGGGAATGCAAGGGCCAGGCTAGCAGAAATTGTTCGAGCATTTCGGGGGATTGCCGTTTTTCACCTTTTTCATGATTTTCCTACATTTTTATTTTTCATGCTTTTTACATTCACTTTTTCAGTTTTCATCGGATGACCTCTCTGGTTCCAGCGATGAGACGATTCTCTGTGCTCGAGGCCGCCGAGACTATCATCTCGCTGCCGAACTCCTCAATGGTATGTTTCAAAAATAGTCCCAAAGCGTTTCTGCTAGCCTACCCTTTCCTAAAAAATGTCTGCTAGCCATTCTTCACTTCCTCGAAACCCGCCTTCAAAAGTGCCCAAAAAAACCAGCAAACCGGCTGCCGGCGGAAGCGCGGGGGGAGGAGCAAAACGGAAGCCTCCCCTCCCGGCGCAGTGTGGCGTGTGAAATTTGGTGGGGGTGTCAATTTGGATGCACACGTCGTCGTGAACGACGACGTCCATCGTAGCCAAACTTCCGGCGGAATCCGGCCGGGGAGGGGGCTCCAATCAGCACCACTATAGGCAGTCCATCTCTCTCCCTCTCCCTCTCTCTCTCTCCCGCCCTCAGGCATCTTCTCAAGGCTCAAGGAACCGCAAAAACTAAATCCCAGCGTCTGAATCTTTTTTTTTTGCAGAGACTAGGAATCTATGGGAACCCAAAGAATCTCTGCTAGCGCGCCTTTTCCTAAAGGATCTCTGCTAGCCTGCCCTTATTAAGAATCTCTTAGCCTTAGAGAAGTCATATCCTCACAAAAAACCAGGTCGTGGTTCTTTTCAAATAGCCAAGAATCTGTGCTAGATAGCCTGCTCTCTCTCTCTATCTTCCTCTCTATCTCCCTCTCTATCTCTCGCTCTTTCTGTCCCTCTTTCTCTCTCGTCTCTCCCCCGCGACCAGCCTAAATTTATGGCCATCCACACGACAAAATTGGACCGCGGCGAAAATTGGGTGCCTTTTTCGGCGCCTCACCCTATTTCTCGGGCTGATGAGCTCGTGAAAAATGTCTCTCCACATTGTCGAATTCACCCTAAAATTTATGCTAATTAGGGGCTTGACACGTGGGTTTTCCCGTTTTAAAGATGCTGCCATTAAATCAGGGACATTTCTGGGCTAGGTGGCTATATAAACAGCGAGAAAACCTCAGGAAATAAATTGGCTTTTGGTTTTGAGATTACGGGAGGTGCTGGGCAGGCTAGCAGCCATTTTTGGGGATTTTGAGGGGAACTAGCAGGAGTTATTTGGCAATGGAAGGGGCAGGCTAGCAGAGATCATTTGGGAATGGAAGGGGCAGGCTAGCAGAGATCATTTGGGAATGGAAGGGGCAGGCTAGCAGAGATCATTTGGGAATGGAAGGGGCAGGCTAGCAGAGATCATTTGGGAATGGAAGGGGCAGGCTAGCAGAGATCATTTGGGAATGGAAGGGGCAGGCTAGCAGAGAGCATTTGGGAATGGACGAAGCAGGCTAGCAGAGAGCATTTGAGAATCCGCTTTCGTCTCGGGCAGGCTAGCTGAGACCACTCCCGGTATCCTCTATCTTCCCCAAAAATTCGTAAAGTCACGAGCAAAACTTCCTGTTTTCCCTCCTGGGGGGAAGTTCCTTCTCTGATTGGCCCCTGTAAATTTGGGGGTCTCGGCGTTTGGCATTTGTCAGCAAAAGAAAAATTCGTGCGTTTGGGTGTGTGACCCGGTGGGCTATAATTTTCCCTAGCTGGGGCCGTATAAATTTCGAATCGGCCCGCTAATGGTCATTTTTGCCACTTCCGCGGTTAGGCCAAGAACTACCCGGTGATTTGGTAGTTTTGCAACTTTAATTGGGATCGGCTTAAACTTGAAAATCTATATATCTCTCTTTCTCTCATCTCTCTCGCCCTCTCTAGATTTCTATCTTTTTATCTCTCTCTCACTCTCTCTCTCTCTCTCTCTCTGTCTCTCTCTCTCTCTCTCTCTTTCTCGATCTCTCACCATCACTTCTCCAAATACCGTAATTTCCTAACTTTTAGCAAAAAGACACCCGCCGCCCCTCCGAGCAAGACATGGCCGACTCGGCGTTACTATTCCTCGAAAGGAGACGCTCCTCGGATCATGGAATCGGTAGGTCCTAATGGTCTCTGTCAGCTTGCCCAAGGATTCCTCAAGGCTCTATGCTAGCTTGCCAATTTCCTCGACTATCTCTAAAAATCTTGGGTGGTGGCCGGAGGGAGAGAGTGCGAAAGACAGAGAGAGGGTGGGAGAGAGAAAGGATCTTTGCTAGCTCGCGAAATTTTAGTATCTTTTAAACAGACGCTTAAAACCTAATGCCGATTCGGCAAGAACCTCTGCAAGCCTGCCCCTCATCTCCAAATTTCAGGCGCAATCCAGCCCGATCTCTATCGCCGACGGGGCAGCATCGTCCGGCACGAGACCACCGGAAAACCGTCTGTCGCTAGAGTTCAGGCAAGTTATTTTAAGGCGACTTAGAGCGTCAAAAAAAAAACATAAAAACCAGTTTTCACTCCCCCTTTTCAGGTTCAAATGACGTACGATTTCTCGAAGAGCGACTTCATCGTCACGTTATTGGAAGGTGGGAGCTTTGGCCGGATATTGGGGCCGGCTAGCAGAGATCATTGAGAAAAATTGGGACCAATTGCTCAGGAATTCTTTGCCAGCTTGCCTGAGGAGCCGGTCAGCTAATTCGCAAAGCATCTCTGCTAGCATGCCCTTCCTAAAGAATCACTGCTAGCCTGCCCTTTCCTAAAGAATCTCTGCAAGCCCACTCTTTCCTAAAGAATCTCGGCTAGCTTGCCCTTCTCTAAAACCCGGATTCCAGTCAGCCACGTCATCAAGCTCGACGAGTACTCCCTCGCCGTGGCCTTGTCCGACACGACGCTCCGTCGACAATCCAGTAGAATTGTGGCCGGAGCCCCGTTTCACAAGGTCAGCCTCCTGGCACGGTCCCTGAAAACGAGCGATTTTAGGAGACCTTCAAATTCCCCGTTTCCTACGAAGACCTGATGGACAAGTCGCTGACGTTGCAGTTGTTAGGCGCGACTCGGATAGGTGAGCAAGGAAATCTCTCTAACTCGCTCTGTCTCTCCCACCCTCTCTCTCTCTCTCTCTCTCTCTCTCTTTCACTCACCTGTACCATACCTTTCCAGGCTCCGCCTCCTCAGTCCTCGGCAGCACCTCAATCGATTTGTCCACGATCGACCCGAGTGATGATGTCATCCTCTGGTCCGATATTGAGCTGCATAATGCTGTAAGTGGCCGTCAAAGTATTCGCTAGGAAAGGGCAGGCTAGCAGTGATTCTTTAGAAACGGGCAGGCTAGGAGTGATTCTCCAGGAATCATAAAACCCCCGTTTTCAGAGCGAAAACCTCGGCGAGCTGTTCGTCGGCATCCAGTACCTGCCCTCGGCCGAGCGGCTTACAGTCACCATCCACCAGGCCAAGGGGCTACCCAGCAAAGAAGCTTTGCCAAGTGGGTTCGGAAGACCGATTTTTTTTGGTGTTACTCCCTATTGAGGTAAAAAACAAGAGCAAAACATTTTTTTAGACGCCGTCGCCAAGGTGTACCTGCTGCAGGACGGCAAGATGGTCAAGAAGCGGAAAAGCGGCGTCCGGAAGAACAGCGGAAACCCGATTTGGAACGAGGCGCTGAACTTTACGTGCACGATGGCGCAGCTGGCAAAGTAGGCCCAAAATCGAAAGGTAAAAATGAACACAAAATTTCAGCTCGCAGCTCGAGATCCACATCCTCGACCACGACCGGATCGGCAACCATAAATTGATCGGGCAGGTAGGGGAGATTTTCGAGATTTAAGAATGGACGGGCCAAAACTTCGACAAATTTTCAAAAAGTCAAAATTTTGGTCAAAAATCATCATTTTTGGTCGAAAAGTTACCTCGTTTTAATTTTTTTAATAAAATTTTGTGAAGTTTTTATGTTTAGGGATTGAAAAAAAAAACGAAAAACGGAAAAAAACGGAAGACACTTCCGCTATTTATATTTGGAAAATGGATTCCTAAAAAAATATATAGTGCCCCACCCTCCTCAATAAAGTGAAAGAACGGGAGGAGCAAGAAAATACGGATAGCAGAATTGGGCAAGCTAGCAGCGATTGTTCAGGAAAACAAGAAGCTATATCTACCAAACATTCGAAAAAATTTCCAGGTACTATTCGGCGCCGGCGATCGCAACGACCGCATGTGGAAAGACTTGCTGGCCAACAAAACGGTGAACCCCCGCTGGATCCCACTGCGACTTCTGTGATTCAAAGGCGACAACAACACTCAGAAAGCTGTTGCTGTACATATGCTCTCTCACCCGCTCTCCCTCCACTTGGCACGCCGATTGTGTCAAAAAAAAATAAGTGCATATAAAATGACTGTAAAATCATCTCAAATAAAAGATGCTGAAACTTTTATTCGATTCTACAATGCCATCAAGACAAGTGGGAGAGAGAGTACTCCATTTGACCGTAACCCAGCGCAAAACAGAAGAAAATCACAGTGAACGGGTGGGGGTGACAAGTCGCCAAATAAATAGGAAAGGCCTAAATTATGTTTAAAAAACAAAAACAAGTCGGCGAAACGATCAGTAGAAGTGGGGGGGACAGACAGCACTTGAATGCATAGATACACAAAAATGGGGCCGATTATAAGAGAGCAGATATGGGAGGGCAGGAAAACTTTTTCATTAATTGTCGAAGATCACGAGGGCTTTTGTGGCTTCTTAAGCGGCCGGCGCGCGGGCTCCACGCTTGCGCTCTCGTTGGGCCGAGTTGATCTGAAAAAAAATGTAAAAAAATATCCACGAAATCAATTTTAGTAAAACGAAACGAACGATACCGAAAACTAGAGCTGCGCCCATTGAAGCCAAATCCAATATCAAATCCCGAAGTCTCGAAATACTCAGATTTGAGGGTGGATTTGGCTTGCAAACGTGCTGTTCTACTCCGAACTACAAACCTTGTCTCCAAGCGTGAGGGCCATTCCTTGGCTCTTCGCCCTGATGCGAATGTGACCGACGATCGGGCTCTCCTCCTCGAGCGGGTTCGCCTTCTCGATGCACACGTTGGCCAGGGCATCTTCGCCGAATATCGAGTGCGCGCAGAAGTTGGCCGCCAGGAAGCCGCATTCACCAGCTAGGAAGAATGAGTGAAAAGTATCGTTAAAATTTATGCCTAATGCCGCATCTGCCGTCAAGCATCGCATGTTGGTGATGGCGGAGATGTGGGCGAGGAATTCGCGGAGGTCGGTGATGGGCGTGTTGACGGTGACCTTGTTCTCCCACTCGAAATCGTTCCACATCTGACGGAATTCGGTGTCCGTGACGGAGCCGGGCACGATGTAGTCCTAAATTTCGAAAATTGTTAGGTTGCAAGCTTTTACTGACCATAATGTCAATCTTGATATCCTGCAGATAGACACAGTTGCGGTCGGATTGCGACCCGCGCACGTCGTAGGAGATCACCGAGAAGATGACGCCGTTCTCCGCCGAGGCCACCTTGATCGTTGCCTAAAACTACCATTTGTTATTTTAAAGCTTCGGAAAATGGTTCACCTTGATGTTGGTGAAATCGTGCGGGCCCAGCGTGCATGGGGTCGGCTTCTCGACCAGCTTCAGATCGCCCATCGTCGACAGCTCGAGCGAGCAGTTCTGCAGGGTATCGGCCGTCTGGTTGACGATCAGCACGTCGAGCACTGAAAAAGACATGAAACGATGAAGCAAGAATCATCCAAAGGATATAAAACTTACCGATATCGTACTGGTTGACATTGACGTAGGCCTCGGCGTAAACTGGATCGGAGAATCCGGCGAGCTGGATGACCTTGCCGAGCTTCGAGGACGAGAAGTCGAACTTTGAGGTCTTTTGGGCGGTGCCAAGAGCCTAAAAGTCAAGTTTTTCTATTTTTAGCGAAAAAAAACAAACCTGGGAGAGGCTGAGGTCGAAGAGGTTGTCGCCGGTCACTTGGTCAGCGCGAGCCGAGAGTTGCGTGAAGACAATGGTCTTGTCGACCTCGACTTGGTTCTTCTTCTTGATCTGCTCATCCTGCTTCACCTCGTGCTTGTTCGACAGCATAATCTAAGCAAGGGCAAATTGTTGAAAAACAAAATGCAAACCTCAAGGCTTTCGCGGCACTTATCAAGAAAGATCTCCTCGGCACCTGGGCAACCCTCGGCCAGCACCTTGATCGTGGTGCACATACTAAAAGGAAAATTTCCGAATGGGCAAACACAATAGTACCGATCGAGATCGTCTTCAGTGATGTTGTTCTTAGAGAGGCCACTCTTGCCCAGATTGACGATCGACGACAGGATGAACATGACGTCGGCCTTGAAGGCGTTCACGCGTGGCGAATTTCCTGAAAGACATCAAAATAGAAACGATAGCGGTAAAAAGCTAACCTTGGTTGAGCTTTGCATAACGTTCGGCCAGTTTGCTGAGAATCGTCGAAAGGGTGGCGCCGAGGAAGAATTCGCCATCGAGCAAGAAGCGGCGCAGCGGAGGGCGGTTATCCTCGCCGGTGCGAACCGCAGTCGACATGGCGGCCGATTGGGTCGCGTAGGTGCCATCGGCGGTCACTAGTTGCTTATGGGGCTAGAAAGAACGATAACGTAGAGAATTCACCAATTTTTATACCTTGCTTCCGGCTTTAGCATCGTCCTTCGCCTCCTCCGTTCCCTCAATTAGGCGCAGCTCCGAGTCGACGATCGGCAGCTCTCCAATGGCCTCCTTGACGAGGCGCCTCACTTCCGCGATGGTCTCGTTCGTTTCGCAGTACGAGCCGAGGATCCAGAGGGCCGACATGAAGATCTTCGGCTTGCGGATCGAGAGTAGACCTTCCTGAAAAGTGGTAGATATCAAAAAACGTTATTATCATACCTGTAGCGACTGCAGAATGACGGGCTTCAGATGGGGCAGCTTGTGGACGGCCTCGCGCACGAATTCGACAACGCTGACGGCGGCCAGTTCGCTGTCGTCGGAGAGGAATTCCATGAGCACGGGCACGATTTGGGGGGCCACGTCCGGAAACTTGATGGTGGCCGTGTGCAGGGTGCGGACGAGTTCCTGGCGATAGCGGGCGCCCTCGTCGGCCGACTCGTTCGAGCTCTTGCTGATTTCCTAAAATAAAAAAGAAATCGGAGATGTTAAGAAAAGGGCTTGAGCAAAATAAGAGCCAAATAAACACACCTTTTTCAAGAACATGACCATATCCTCGACGTTGCGGCTGGAGATGAGGTCCAGGGCCAAGGCGAGCGTCTTCTTGCGAACCTCGAGCCCCGGGGAAGCGAGTACGCGGAGGATGTCCATCACCAGCTCTTGCAGCACACGTTCGCCGGCCGAGTTGGTGCGCAGCTCCATCAGGCGGTCGAGCACGATCAGCTGAAAAGACAATGGTGATGCCGAATCAAAGAAACATCACCTTGACGTTGTTGTCACTCTCCTTCACTATCAGTTCAATATACGTAGAAGCTGCGGCCTTGATGGCGGCCGGGGCAGGTGAGAGGGTGATCAGCGTGCCAGCGGCTTCATATCGAACGGCGGCCGACTGCGATTGAAGCAAGTTGTAGACGCAACGGATGAAGCGGGAGCGCTCGGCTGGGTTGGTGTGGCACACTTTGTAGATCAACTCGACGATGATCAGCTGCAGGATGTCGCCGAATTGGGTGACCTAAAGAGAATGGATTTTATTTTGAGAAAAGATTTACCTGATCGATGCAACCGGAGAGGAAGTCGAGGGCTCGCGTTTGGTCGACGTGCAGCAGCATCATGAAGGCGTTGCGCTGGAAATGAACATACAAAGGAACAATTCAGAAAGCGTACCTTGCATGACGCGTCTTGCTCTCCCTCCAAGAAATTTGAGACGAGCTCTGGCGCGTCCGGGATGAGGAATTCGAAGTTGCGGAAGATGGTGAAGATTGCGCAGACGGCGTTCCGGCGCACGTAGGAGTGGCGGTGCTCCAGGCAGGTGCGGATGGCGGGCATCAGCGGCTCGAGCAGCTCCGGTTCCTTCAGCTTGCACAGGAATCTGAAAAGCCAAATTATGACCAGTCACTCAAGCCAACCTCAACGTCGACCCGCGGACAAATTCGTTCGGGTGCTGCAAATCTTTCCTGTACGCATCGCAGACGAGGATCATCTCGTGGAGCAGCTTGCCTTGTGGGTTCGTCTATAAAATCACAAAATTAAAGCCATAAGCTTAATTTTATACCTTTGGGACAATCTCCCAAAAGATGAGCAGCAACTTCTTGAGCGTGTGGTCGTTGGAGGGCAGGCAGAAGCGGATGACGTACATCAGCATGCCGGGGCTTGTCTTCTCGCCGGTCTGGATCATGTAGATCAGCTTCTTGAGGGCATCGGCACGGCCTTTGTCGTCTCCTAAAGACACATTCAAGGAATTCACTAGAAGTTGTTACCTTTTTCGAACTTCTCCTTCAGCTGCGCCTCGCTGGGCAGTTCCCAGTCGTTGGGCACATGCAGCAGCGTGTAGCAGGGCAACTCGCTGGAGGACATGACCTGAAAGCAGAGAAATTTTCAAGGGACTTAAAAAATTAAATCCAAAACAGAAAACAAGGAAGAAGAGTTAAAAATCGAAACAAGAGAGGATTGGAATATCAACCTCTATCTGAGACCAAGTTTTTCGTCCTCGTGGACGTGGGTTTTTGCTTGCAAGCTCCTTCCAGCTGCCCTCTGACTGTAAGAGAACCGACGTGTTTCCACCCATTTGGGTGCTTGGGGGAAGGGAGCGCGTGGCAGGACCAATCGGCGAGAGAGATTGGGCGAGCGAGGAGGGCGCAGATGCTTTTGGATTCTTTCAGGGCTAGACCGATTTATTATAGCCAAACTTATTAGAAAAAAAGGGTATTTTAATTCGTGAAATTCCTCATCAAAAAACTAGAACTTTCTAAAATGTTCGAAAATGAAATTTTCCAAAATTGAGTTCAAAACCCAGATTGAACAATCCGGCAACGTTGCTCCGGGTGCGGGTTTACAGACGTTCCCGTAATTTGTAGCATCGCGGTGATTTAAGTTTTAAAAATTCCAAAAAGCGTTTTTTTCCTAAACTTTTCGACATCTTTGAGGGTTTATTTTGCTCTTTCCGGCTTCATCTTTCTGATGCGATCACGGCTGGTCATTTGTACCTGGACGGACGACAGATAGATGTTGCAGACAGCGGACATTCTTGTGTGGATGGCCCGACGTGTGCATCCTCATCAGCATGCGGTGCTGATTCGGACTGGTGAACGATGGGTATCAGTAGCTGGGCATCGTATTATTCTTCGTGTATTCAGGAACGTGATGTGAACCATCAGACGTAATCTGGCCAGGCGGTGGTTTCTGGTGGATGGATGGCTGGATGGAGGCACGTGTGGTGCCATCATATGAATATGTGATAGATCTTTAACTAGCTGGTGTATGTCGTTAGTCGGGCTATGTTGCAGCCTCAGGCGTGGTAGCGGCGGATCATGAGCTCTCTGAATGGGACTGGTGGCGGTTCTCGTCTCGAGTCCTCCTGCCAGGCCTGAAACTGGAGATATGGAAAGGCAAACTGACGTCAGAGAAAACTTTTTCTTACTGCATTACGTGAGTCATGTGTGCCTGCTAGGCTGGTGTGTTAGACAAGCACCTCTGTAGCTAAGATCTGGAAGGAACATAAATATGTTTATAATTTCCTCATGAAGACTAAAGAACCAATATTTGTTCTAGAATTTTGAGTACAAGCCGCGTCCGCGTACTGCACGATGATCGATCAGATGATTGGATCAAAAACGCGCCCCTGGGACACTGAAAGAATCCCGATTCGACCAAAACAAGTAAGTTTTATCGAATTGTATCATTTTGACGGTCGTTTTAGATGCTCACCCTGCCCGAGATGACGAAAGAAGAAAAGTTCATGTCAAGACTGATGGAGAACTGCGCGGTGAAGGCCGGCATCTCGGGTTTGTTTTTGCAAAGTTAGTGATAACCCTTGAATTCTAGGGGTCCTCGGCTACGGAGTGGGAATCGCCTTTGGACTCTTCACCGCCTCCGTAGATCCGCAACTCTCAATGGTCGGCGGCGATCCGACAAAACAGGTGCGAAGGCTGACAACTTAGCAATTTATTTTTTTTTAGTTGAGCCTGAAAGAAACCTGGAGAGAGATGAGTTCGCGGATGAAGTCGTACGGAAAGAACTTTGGGTCTATTGGTCTTCTGTTCGCAGGTTTGGATTCGTGCTTGATAATTGTAATTCTGTTTAGGCACGGAATGTATACTGGAGACGGCGCGCGCGAAAACGGATTGGCGAAATGGGACGTACGCGGGCGGGGTTGTCGGCGCGTTACTCGGCTATAGAGCAGGTACGAAGTTTATTTTACCTCGAAGATGTTCTTTTTAGGTATTAAGCCTGCGCTTTTTGGCGCCGCCGGATTCGCCGCCTTCAGCACGGTCATCGACTACTGGATGGGCAGACATTAATCTATCAATAAAAAGCTTGTGCTCCTTCATTCGTTTGCGATTTCCCGTCCGATGTTCTGTTTTTGTTAGTGCTACGGGTATCTCTAGGATATAGTTAGTGCGCATGTTTATGTTGCATAAAATTCTGCAGTTTGTTTTGCTGTAACGATCTATATAATAAATCATGAAAAAGCAGTTGGCTGGCACCTTTAACATTCGGCCAGTTTTTGGCCGAATTAGAGCTTTGGCCGCGTGCGGCTTTTCGTTTTCCGAACGCAGTTTCGCACCCATGGATCCAGTTACCCGAAATCATCACGCGTGTGTAGATTCGTTAGAGAGTTTTGCAAAATCTGAAGAACATGAGCTTTATAAATCGAAATAGCTTGTCCTATAAAGTCCTAAGTTTCGTTTTTTTGTGAACCTTTGTGAACTGATCGCGCCTTAAAACCGAAGACCAGCTAGGAACTATATTGTGAATTGGCGGATGTTCATACAGACCGTTTATTCGCGTAACACTAAAACAATACTAAAACAAACAGAGATCGGGCGGATGAAAGGAAAACCGGTGGGGGATCTGGCAAGGGAAGGGGGGCCATGAATTTTGCGCAACGAATTTTGCGCAACTCGGGGAAAACGAATTTTGCGCAACAAGCGAATTTTGAGCAACTCCCACAAAACGAATTTTGCGCAACTTTTTGGTGAAAAAATATAAAAGGCTTACAAATATGGTTTTTTTCATTGCTTTTCGCTGCCGATACAATAAATAAAGGAATGTAAGAGCTAATCGAAGAAAAATTCCAACACTAGCGTGTTGAATAATGGTTATCTCGTGGATTTTGGCATGGCCGCTGGTTTTCGTGATTTGAACCTGTTTTCTGTGAACTTGAACTATTAGAACGCCTCAACAGTTGTTCTAAGGCCGTTCTTGATCAAGAAAACTACACTGCCGCGGCATATTCCCCATTACCTCGTCGAACACCATATGTCACGCTAGTCGATTATCGTCTAAAAAGCGATTTCGAACCTACTTTACATTTTTCTTACATTAAGTATGGAATACATTATTTTATTTTAATAGAAAACGCTTGACTGAAAATGAAACTTCCTGTTATCAACGATTTTAGCAAAAACCGGCGGCCAGGCCAAAATTCACGAAATGACCGTTATTCGGCACGCCGGAACTGAAAATTTGCTTCAATTAGCTCTTACATTCCTTCATTTATTTTATCGGCAACGAAAAGCAATGAAAAAGCCATATTGGTAATAAAAGAGAGAAAAGTATATAAAAGTAAGAATAAGATAGAAGGAACCTCCACACTGCGAACAGTGGGAGTTATAACAAGCCGAAGCCTGCGTTACCCCGAAGGGTGTGAACTCGCAAGCGAGCGATACGGCAAAGCCGTGTGAACCAAACCACGAGGGAATGGCGGTTTTGCTCTAAGAAGAGCTAAAAGGAAAAAGTATAAAAGGTTGCCTGTTTCGACCCTTAACCAAGACAGGCTAGTTTAACATCAGGGTGGGTCTCCTCAGCTGGATCCCTGATGTTTTCTAGTTCAAAAGGTTAAATTCTTAGTGGTAAAGTAAAGTATTTTCAATTTTGCTAGGAATTTGTGTATTTGAATCAGTTTTTAGTTATATTTGTTTCACTTTCTCTGAAATTCTCTTTGATTTGCAGATGACTTTATCAGCCCCATCGGGACCATGACAGTTGAGCAACGACGTTTGAGCAAATCGGGAAAAACGACGTTTGAGCAACTGCGACTTTTAAGCAAACACGGGAAAACGACGTTTGAGCAACTTTCGTAAGAAAAAAGAAAATGCATGTAAAATAGCCGTTTTCACCGGTTTTTCTTAGTTTTAAAAATACTTTGTGCTAACTAAAGTCTTCTAAAGCTTAAATTATACCCCGGATAGGCCGACTTTCACGCCGTGGTTCCCTTTTGATGCCACTTTGTGTGCATTCACTCAAAAAGTTAGTTTTATCCGGTTTTCTCTTTATTGTTGGTTTTTCGGTACCATTTCTAGCTCAGATGCATCCACATGTTTGATAAAATGGCATTTGGAAAAGAAAAACGAATCAAAACATGTCTTTTATTGACGATTTGTTGGAACTTTCAGGTCAAAACCCAGATTCGATTCTTATGTCTACTTTCCTGATATTATAAACTTGTTTCTTTACGTATTCTAACAAAAAAACGCCATACAGAAGCACAAAACCTTCAAAAACTAGGGTCTTCAGGACATTCAAGGCTAATTAGCTGAAAGAAATACATTCCCTGTGAAACACGGCCGATCCGGGGTATAATTTAGGCTTTAGAAGGCTTTAGTTAGCACAAAGTATTTTTAAAACTAAGAAAAAGCGATGAAAACGGCTATTTTACATGCATTTTCTTTTTTTTCTTACGAAAGTTGCTCAAACGTCGTTTTCCCGTGTTTGCTTAAAAGTCGCAGTTGCTCAAACGTCGTTTTTCCCGATTTGCTCAAACGTCGTTGCTCAACTGTCATGGTCCCGCCCCATCGGTCGTGTAGAGGCGGTGTTGATAGTGTGGGTGTGTAGGCTAACGTAACCGAATGGATGGGTTGTTTTGTGAGACTAACTAATTGAAAGAGTAAAGAAGTGAAGAAAAAAGGTAAAATAATACTAAGCTGATACTATTAAAGTGTGAGAAGGATAGAAAATATTTATGAAAATGTTATAGGGGTTAGTTTTAATTTGTGTATCAAGTTTTTGCCACTAGTATCGTATCTTAGGCTGAGCCCTGGGTGTTTTTTCATAGCTTTACTGCATAGATTTAGTAAAATTTTACTGGGGTAGCCGTTTTTCATTAAGTGGGTAATTAGATTTTGTAAATGTTTAATACATGTATCTAGATTGGTACATTTCCTAGCTATTCTGATGATTTCTCCTTCTACACATCCATGTTTGATAGCGTATGAGATGTTAGAAGAATAGTTGGGCATGCGTGTAACACTAAATTGATAATCGTCTACTTTATTATATAATTCCGTTTGTACTTTATTGTTTTCAATGTAGATTCTGAGGTCTAAGAAATTACCAGAATGAGTTGTTTGATTAGTTGCTCTAATGTAAGTTCGGCGCTACTTCAGTTTGCTGGCCCCACTTATATATGGCCAAAACCTCATTTTTCTGGTTCAGTTTTTTGCGCTGATTACGGAAAACACTATCCCAGCCCACGAAAATGCGATTTAGTAAAACAATTTAATTGGAAAGTCGGGAAAATTCCATTTTACGGCGGTCGCGTAAAAGGAGCCTTTTTGTGGTTTTTTAATTAAATAATGGCCAAAAACGGGTTTATCATGAATAAAGTCAGCCAGTAGCATTGTCAGGCAAGGCGGGCCGTCGCTTCGGATGGGCTGCCGCTCCACTCTTTCGAAATCGGGGCGCCTGGCCGCTTCGCGCGCCTCGGGCGCCCCGATTTCGAAACCCTGTACGAGCTCGCACCCATCCGAAGCGACTAGGCCCCGGGGTGGCACGAAGCCTTATTTTTAGGAAAAAAAAGCGGATGCAATCGCTCAGCCTCGTTGGAAAAAGCTTTTCCACTGTTTTATAGGCCTCCCGCATCAAAACACCGGGTTGACCCCCTTTAAAAACTCAAACCAGAAAAATCGAAAATCAAGTGTTTTCTCCCCTCAAAATTCACGAAATTGTTTTCCGTAATCAGCGCAAAAAACTGAACCAGAAAAATGAGGTTTTGGCCATATATAAGTGGGGCCAGCAAACTGAAGTAGCGCCGTAAGTTCTTTAGGGTATATTTTACTTAGCAAAGTTTGTATATTAATGCCAGTTTTATATAAAACAAGAATATCGTCCATGTATCTGTGTCCTACCACTTCGTCTGTATAATTATCTTTAAGAAATAGATATTCATAGTAACTGAGGGTAAGATCCGCTAACATAGGACTACAGTTTTGACCTTGAGGAATACCTAATTTTTGCTGAAATAGTTGTTGTTTATATGATACAAAGCTATTATTTAGAAGGTATTTAACTAAATAAATAATTTGGTTTTTATTGTAGGTATTATTTCCTCCGTCATTGGTGTAATAGCAATTTTTGTATCCTAGTTTTATATGGGGTTTTTTAGCATTTTGGAAACAGACTTCTAGGATACCATTAATAGCTGAATTAACTATGTCGTGGGGTAAATTAGTGAAAAGACTACTGAAATCAGCTATATATATGTTATTTTTATTTTCATTTTCCAATAAATTAACTTGATTCGAATTATCAATTGACCAATATACTTTTTTATTAGTGAAATTAGTAATAGCTAAGCAATATCTTTGGAAATGTTGCCTTATAAATTTTAGTATTTGATGAAGGCATACTGATATTGACTTTATAGAGCTGTTATAGGCGCCTGTAATGAATCTAAATTTAATTGGGTTCTTATGGAATTTAGGTAGGCCATATATTTTAGGTAGATCTGGTGTTTCACCTAGTTTAAGTTGATATAATACTTGAGTATTTAAGTGTCTTTTAATAATTTGGTCGCTATTTTCACATGTATATGTCTTATAGGTTTCATTTCCGTTAGGCTGCCCATTAATGTATCCCATTTCTTTATCGATAAATAGTTGGTAGAGTTGTGGGCATATAATTGCAAAATTAGAGGTAGCTTTATCAACACTAGTAATGATGAAAGTTTTACGTAAATCTCTAATTTCGTTCCAATTTAGTTCAGTAGCTTTAGGAGTAAGATAAGATGAAAGAATTATAGTTATTATGTCTTCCGAAATAGTTTTAGTATCACAATTTTTAGTAATTTTAGCTATTTCTTTTTCTAATTCTTCAATTATTCTTTTTCTATGATTAGCTTCATATGGATTAAGGATTGGTCTATATTTGGTGCCTAGTTTTAGGATTTTAGATGTATCAGGGTAGAATTTCGTAAGGGTTTCACTGTCACCAGTTAGAATATGGGTATGACCGTTATATTTTATTGTATTTAAGCTGTTTTGATAACGATAACATTGTTTACAAATGTTCTTAGTATCATTTATGGCATTGTTATCTAATTTATTAAGATATCGGTTATAATTAAAGAATAATTGACCAAGTGTAGGGTTGTACTGATAAGTTATTTGAAAGTCGTTATTAAATGATATGTTATTCTGGCTAAGATATGTTTTTAAAATCTTTTTGACATTAATATTTTCTATTTTAGGTTCAATGTAAGGTATTTTTAGTCGAATTTTGGGATGTTTCTTAGTTTTAATCTTAGTCTCGTTCTTAGGCTGATCGTATTTATGTATAACGGCTTTAGCGATAGCTTTAACATTCGGATTATGATGATCTAGATATGGAGTGAATTTAGCTTGTAATTTTTTTGGTAAATTATGAGTAAGTGTTCTAATGTCTTTAGGCTTCATTTCTGTAATTTGAAAATTTTTAAATTGGAAATTATCAATTTTGGCTTTCTTTTTTCTTTTTTTATGACCTCTATCTCGTGGTGGGGGTTGAATTTTTAAACAGAAATAAGGAGCCTGTGTTTTATATTTACCATTGGGATTTGATATAATGCCATACCCTTTAATTTGAAACTGATTCAAATACACAAATTCCTAGCAAAATTGAAAATACTTTACTTTACCACTAAGAATTTAACCTTTTGAACTAGAAAACATCAGGGATCCAGCTGAGGAGACCCACCCTGATGTTAAACTAGCCTGTCTTGGTTAAGGGTCGAAACAGGCAACCTTTTATACTTTTTCCTTTTAGCTCTTCTTAGAGCAAAACCGCCATTCCCTCGTGGTTTGGTTCACACGGCTTTGCCGTATCGCTCGCTTGCGAGTTCACACCCTTCGGGGTAACGCAGGCTTCGGCTTGTTATAACTCCCACTGTTCGCAGTGTGGAGGTTCCTTCTATCTTATTCTTACTTTTATATACTTTTCTCTCTTTTATTACCAATATGGCTTTTTCATTGCTTTTCGTTGCCGATAAAATAAATGAAGGAATGTAAGAGCTAATTGAAGCAAATTTTCAGTTCCGGCGTGCCGAATAACGGTCATTTCGTGAATTTTGGCCTGGCCGCCGGTTTTTGCTAAAATCGTTGATAACAGGAAGTTTCATTTTCAGTCAAGCGTTTTCTATTAAAATAAAATAATGTATTCCATACTTAATGTAAGAAAAATGTAAAGTAGGTTCGAAATCGCTTTTTAGACGATAATCGACTAGCGTGACATATGGTGTTCGACGAGGTAATGGGGAATATGCCGCGGCAGTGTAGTTTTCTTGATCAAGAACGGCCTTAGAACAACTGTTGAGGCGTTCTAATAGTTCAAGTTCACAGAAAACAGGTTCAAATCACGAAAACCAGCGGCCATGCCAAAATCCACGAGATAACCATTATTCAACACGCTAGTGTTGGAATTTTTCTTCGATTAGCTCTTACATTCCTTTATTTATTGTATCGGCAGCGAAAAGCAATGAAAAAAACCATATTTGTAAGCCTTTTATATTTTTTTCACCAAAAGTTGCGCAAAATTCGTTTTGTGGGAGTTGCTCAAAATTCGCGTGTTGCGCAAAATTCGTTTTCCCCGAGTTGCGCAAAATTCGTTGCGCAAAATTCATGGTCCCAGGGAAGGAACATGGGGATTCAATTTGTAAATTGCGGATGTGGACCTTGCTCAGTTGTCGATGTGGTTGGGGGCTTCTTGGTAGCAGCGGGAACTGAAAAAGTCTCATCTTTCCCTGGTGAACGATAAAGGCTTCCGAAAATCAGTTTCACAAAGATTGCATTTTGTTAAACGGGCTGCGAAAAATGAGGTACGGTCCGAAAAGCGGGGCTCTGACACTCAAAGGCCTATGCACGAACCTCCAAAATCGCGTTCTCGGCTGTTTCTGGGCCAAATTCGATCATTAAACCCCCAAAATGACTTAAAATTGCGTGATGATTTCAGAAATGAGCTCAGAATCTTCGAATTACAATGTTTTCACAATGAATTTGGCCAAAAACCAAAAAACGTCAAAAACGGCCCTTTGAGAGCGAATTTTCTCGAAACGAGGCGTGCAGCAAATTTCGAACGATGGCATGTTCAGAATTTCAAGCTCTATCCAAGGAGCCATGTCGCAACGAAAAATCCTAAGATCACATAGCAAAATTTCATGATCCCCTAACAAGCACTCGTTGTAAGGTGGCCGGGTCCCTAGCACAAAAATGGTTATGAACAAAAAAAAACACATCTTGTCTCGGAGAAGACACACACATACCCGAATTTACAACCGCTCATCGTCATTATCGCCCGGTTGGTATGGCGTCAGCGGAGGTGGGGGGTCGACACGGAGGCTGCGTCTTCTTGCGGGTCACCCTATAAATGAAAGTAATTTGCGGCGAATTAAGATATCACCTCCTCCATGGGCGTGTTCGGGCTGAGGTGAGGCATCACAGCTGGGGCTACAAAAAAATTCGGTGATTAGTCCCGTAAGAAAATCTGTACCATCTGCGGAGCCGCTGAAGATCCCGACCACTTCTAGGCACACAGCTACTGAAAAAAAACACTAAACACTAAATTGATTACCCACTTGAGGGAGGCGCACGGGATGTTGATGATGACGAGGTAGTCGCCGCCGACGAATTATCCGATGCAACGGTGGTCATCTGCTCCGAGCTCATCACTGGAAAAAAAGGTTGAAAGCAAAGTTAAATAAAACGGAGAAGGACGCCAAAAGGTTAGGCCACACGAGGAAATGTTGTTTTTTAATGTTACGCCGCTTCGGTCTCTAATGGCGATTTCAGAAAATTGAAAATCGTAAGAAAACTATACCATCGGGCTGGGAACCATTTGGGGAGTCGATGAAGCTGTTGACGACTTGTAGGCACACACCTACTGAAAAAAACATAAACACTAAATTGAGTACACACTTGACGGAGGGGCGGAGGATGTGGTGGGCGATGATGTAGTCGTCGAGCCGGTTGATGAATCCGATTGCACAGCATCATCAGGCTTCTTCTCTGAGCTCATCGCTGGAAAAAAGGTTGAAAATAAAATTAAATAAAACGGAGAAGGACGCGAAAAAGATTAAGCCACAGAAGGAAATGCCGTTTTTAATGTTAAGCCGCTGCGGTTTCCGATGACGATTTCAGAAAATTGAAAAATTGACATTTTGGAGGCAAAAAGTTCAGGCTAAAGTCCGGGAAACCCCCCAGCCGGGTTTTGAACTTTCCTACCTTAATGATCGCTACTATTTTTCGCTGCTTTTTTACTTCTATTAATGTACTCTTACTAATTATACCATGGCGAACATTTGGGTACTTAAGCTCTCTAGCGCAAGGGGGTCCGAGATACAAGGGTCGACGCTGGTGGGGCCAAGCGGGTCCTAGACTCTTTTCAAAATTGAATTCAGGTTAAACGAAAAGGCGAGTAATAAGAAAGTGTAAGATCGGAATTCCAGCGGTCGGGCCAGTCAGCGAGATTTCAAGCACATTATGGAATAATCCCCGTTGCAAAAAGTGATCATTTAAAAAGGCAATATATCCCGAATAGCCGCGAGTAGCAGATGAATTACGTGAATAAATGGGTTTTACTCTAATTCGCTAAGATAAAAACCAGGTTACGGTTGCATTAAAATCTCAGTAAAACGGTAAAAGCATTAGCGGTAACCGCCGCCATACAAGCGGCTCTATGTTTTTGATATCAAATGAAGGTCTTTTGGCGAAAAAGCAAGTTCATCATTGCGTAACATCAGTACGCGTTTCTTAGGTTGTAAGGGGGTTTTGCCAACCTGTTTTCTGACCCACTGCGAAAATTTTACTAAAATGGAGACTCTCAGTAAATCCTTTCCTAGAATGGGCGGCGGAAAAGGCATGATGAAAACGAACTTGAGAGCTTGAAACGCCATCATTAAAGCGGAAAATCAGTTAAAGGTTGATAATCAGTGGACTATGGCGGACTTTTCCCTGTGTAAGAGTTGTCGATGATAAATATTCAGAACGGTCGAAAAACGGGTACAAGTAGGATAAGCGGGGGGGGGGATTTTAGGCGGTATATATACTGAAGGGAAGAAAAGAAAATAAACGACCACACAAAAACCAGCCGGCGCCGGCCGAGCGCGGTTCGGCAATCGCGGAATCTTGTGTTTCCGTGTACAGTAGTGGGCGCCGCAGGGACACGCTTTAGCGATTTATATTTCTTGAGAGTAGTCACACCAACGAAAGACTATTAGGCGCTTTGTAAGGTAACGCAAGGTCCATAGGTATATTTTTTGAGGGTATTACACAGTGAAATGGCTGCCGGGTTTCTGCCGGCTGGCAGCAGGGAAAAATGGCTCTGCCGGCTGGCAGCCGGGATCTTGTAAAATGTATTTATTCGAAGCCCTACCCTAACTTTAGAATTTTTCGGATTTTCGCTGCGTTTTCTTTGCGCGTTCAGTTTCTTCTTTCATAAATGTATATTTTTACAGTTCTATAAAGAGGAAGTATACAGCTTATCAAAACGTTTGATGTTTTTAGAATGCAGCCTGTGAATTGGTACTAGAGGTTTTTTTATTTGATATATGGCAACACTTTGATTTCTTGCCAAGTTAACGGAAGTTTTCAGATAATGTTTTATTCCGTTTCGATATCTGCCGCCGTCTTTCTGGGTTCAATATGCCAGTATGGCAAGTTAAAAGGAACTGCAGACGAGCCAGGTATTTCAGCTTCATTAGACTTTTAGAAAGTTTTGAGCTATAATGAACCAGCCCACACGCTGACGAATGCTTCGCTAATGTGACGAAATAGCGTCAAGTAACAAGAGAAGTTTATTAAAAATCTAACCTTTGTTTCTAGATTAATTAATAGTAAGAAACTTGCGCCTGCTTCTGATTAGCTTCCTTGATTCAAGCACCTTGGTTAAAAAATTATATTTACTCTTAAGTTAAGTTTAATGGGTTTAAAAACTCATTAACGCTGGTAAAGGTTAAACTAATGCAAGTTTACCTACAGTTAGATTGTTGCCGCGAACGTCTATTGCCAACTCTCGTCCCTCGGAAAGTAAGTGATAAACGAAATTAAAGGGCTAGTTCAACTTTTAGAGCTTGGGCTGGTACCTTGGGAAACTATGGACGTAGGCACAGTGCGCCCGAACAGTCCCCCATTACGACAGCTATTAGAGATCGGGGAAATGAGAGAGGAGCAGACACAAAAACGCAGAGAGGGTTCGGCTCCTATCCGCGGAAATCCTTTTGTTTTAATGGCTGAACTAGCCCTTTAAAGACAAGAGAAAGCACTCGTATATTGGCACCAGATTACAGGTGTCGCCTACGTTGCAATTGCGAAGCGGAAGCGGAAGCATTATATTAACAGAAGCACGGCAAATGGCCGGATGGCAGCCGGCGGCTGCCACCCGGCAAGATCCCGGCATCCAGGTCTCTGTGTACGACCAAGGGACCAGACCAAAAGTTATTACTATTTTTTTTGGTTAGAGAAATGGCCATATGTATCGTTTTGCGCGTATTCACGCCAGGTGAAGGCGATTAGATGTTTTCTAGGGTAGCAGAAAGGGCGCCGGTATATTTTTGAAGGTACCCACACCAATGGAAGGCTTGTAGCTATTTTTTTGGCTAAAGAAAGAGCCATAGGTATCTTTTTAAGGGTGATCAAGCCAAGGGAAGGCCATTAGGCCTATTGTAAGGTAAGTAGCGCGAAGTCAGGACACGCAGCTATTTTTTTTGCTAGAGAAAGGGCCACAGCGATCTTCACGTCACCACGTCAAGAGGTCATCACGTCACCGGAAGGATCTGGGGCCTTTGGTAAGGCAGTGGAGATGCCATAGGTATATTTTAAGGGTAATCACGTCAACGGAAGGCTAGTAGCTATTTTATAAGATCGAGGAAAGGCTATAGGGTTATTTTTGAGAAATTCACGCCAAGCGAGGGCTATTATGCTTTTTATAAAGCGGTTAAAGGGATAACGACGGCATAATTAATCGGTACGCGAGGTAAAGAAAATGTCTCTACGTCTCACCCTTGCGCGCGTTTTTGCCCTGTTGGCGACTTGCCAAAAAGTCGATCAGGGGTGATCGACCGATGCCGTCCGTATCCCTTTAAAGTATACATGGGTCGACGCTTGCATGCGCCGCATAAGCGTGGCTGGCCACGCTCTTCCGGAGCGTGGAGGACCACGCTTATGCGGCGCTTTATGCGTGCTTTTTCACGCGCGCGATTTAACTCCAGATGCAAATCAAAAATTTAAAGGACATATATTTATGATTTCGATTTGCAAAAATGAATTACCGATACGTAACTATCAGGGTCATCTTTAAATTTTGATAAATAAACAAGATAGATCATCATTCAACTTCTTGTTAATTAAATTCTCGAAAACGGATCGATTTTTGCTTTCATGTCCCATGGAAAACTTTGATTTTGCATTTTTAGAAGCTTTGCATAAGCGTTTCCGGAGCGTGGCCGGCCACGCTCATTTCGGCGTGGTTTATTAAGAGGCGCGCGCGCCAGCGTGGCTCTCCACGCTCCGGAAGAGCGTGGCCGGCCACGCTTATGCGGCGCATGCAAGCGTCGACCCATGTATACTTTAAAGGCCCGTTGGTATATTTTTTATGGCAATCACGCCAAGGCAAGGCATGCAGCTATTTTTTGCCTAGAGAAAGGCCACAGGGAATTTTTAAGGATCATTACGCCAGGGGAAGGATATGGGGCCTTCGGTAGGGTAACGGAGATGCCATAGGTATATTTTTAAGGGTAATAACGTCAAAGGAAGGCTAGTTGATATTTTTTAGGGTAAAGGGGGTTCAGCTTTGGGAGGTATCTGAAGCCCTCGATAAAAGATTTGAGTAGTTTTGGAAGGGGTTTCGGCTATGGGCGGTATCTGAAGCCATCGGTGACAGATTTCAGTAGTTTTTGAAGCGGTTTCGGCTATGGGAGGTTCTGAAGCCATCAGGAAGGTATCTGAAGCTCTCAGGGAGAGGTTGTAGTAAACAATGATGGCGATTGGTTTTCATTGTTTCTTCAAAGAAATAGCCTTCTCTCTTCTTCAAATCTTAGTGCATCCTTTCTTTCATGTGTCAAATCCACGTGGTGGCACGATATGCAGGGTAGCCCGAAGGCCAGCTGATTTCAGTCGCGAAGCCCTTACCGTAAAATTTTGTAAAGATCTTAAAATTACTTTTCAAAACCTTTATTGCATCATTAAACAAGGGTGAATGCGAATAACAACAGGGAAACGGTTAATAAAGGTCATTATTGGCGTGAAATATCGGTTTGTCGGTGTTTTGGCCATTTCTCCAAGCACTTGTAATTGGCCAGTCGAATCCCAGGTAGGAGCTCTACGTTGCCGGCCGGCCTCGACATTCTGCGCCAGAACAATTTCAACTTTGTCGTCGATGGATGGAATGGAATGGAAGACCAGTAATTAACTGAAATAATTGTGTACAAAATTGAACGAAATAGAGTTTCGCGTTCTCACTTCCAAGGCTTAGGCTTAGGTGTAGTTTTAGGCTGGGCTAAGGCTTGGTCAGGCTTATTTACATTTAGATGTTACGGTAGTTCGGCGGTTTATCGAGACCTCGTTCGCGGCGGTGACGCTGTTCTCGGGCAGGTTTTGCAGTGCATCGGTGAGACTGCATTCAGCGAGCTGAAAATTTAACGACCTGCACTACAGCCTCGAGTATAGGTTTTTACTGAGGGTTTAAGGCTGCGAATCGTTTTTGGTGCTTTTGCCGTTTTTCAAGGTGAGAGTTCTCATTTGGTACAGCTTGAAGTTCTGAAAATATCAACGTCTCCAAAAACTGACTCTCGATCAGCTTTTGAAAAGGTTTTCAAAGTTCGCATTCTGTTAAGGGGCGCCTTCAGGGAGTTGGACATGAACAGCTGCGTCCCCTCTTTTTTGCTAATCTCTCTGCTGAAGTAGCAACTCCAAGCGCGTAGGAGGGGGTAGTGGCGGCAGGCTGCCCGACAGACCAGACATCATTTTCGAGCAGTTCGCACAACTCGGCGCCAATTCGATTGTAACTCATTTGGGGGTCGTTTGGTAGCATTTCTTCGAGGTTGTTGAACACGGTGGACGATTTCGAGATTTTTTCTAACCGCGCTAGCAGGCTGGGCAAAGCTGCTAAAGAGCTGAAACTCGTTGTGCAGGTAGAACTTTTCGCGCTCTTTCGACTGATGCCCTTCTGGATCCAGGACTCCCAGTGCAGATCGAGATATGATGGGTTTTAGTGCGGCGACAACTTCGACAGGTACACCTTCGGCACTAAAACGCTCCCCTCTCTGTCCCCCGACGGTGTTGGAGAACGGCAAGTATACCGTTGGAAAGAGCGTTCAAAATGCTACTTTCTCAACGGCTTGAAGCAATTCTATCAAGCTTCTTTACGCTGCTAGCGCCGTTAGAAAAAACGTCTCGAAATCGTCCGCCGTGTTCAACAATCTCGAAGAAATGCTACCAAACGACCCCCAAATGAGTTGCAATCGAATTAGCGCCGAGTTGTGCGAACTGCTCGAAAATGATGTTCATCTTTTATCTTGCATAGTAAAACTGGGTTGACCCGAGCGTCGGCCCGAAATTCGGGGCGCCCGGTTTTCAAGCCGAGGGGGTCGGCCCGTTTTTGGGCCGAGAGGGCCGGCCCGGTTTTCAATGGTGATGGCGATTGGTTCTGAAACAATTTGGTGGTGGCACGATATACAGGGCAGCCCGAAAGCCAGCTGATTTCAGCCGCGAAGCCCTTACCGTAAAATTTTGTAAAGATCTTAAAATTACTTTTCAAAACCTTTATTGCATCATTAAACAAGGGTGAATGCGAATAACAACAGGGAAACGGTTAATAAAGGTCATTATTGGCGTGAAATATCGGTTTGTTGGTGTTTTGGCCATTTCTCCAAGCACTTGTAATTGGCCAGTCGAATCTTCTCACGTCGTAGCTCTAAGTTGCCCGGCTCGAAATTCTGCGCGAGAACAATTACAACTGTGTCGGCGGTAGGCCAGTCCGACCGACATCGAATTAGCTGAAATAATTGTGTATAAAAACAAACGAAAACGAAGTTCGCTTGCTCACTGCTAAGGCTTAGGTTAGGCTTAGGCTGAAGTTGGGTTTAGGCTCAGGCTTAGGCCTAGGTTTAGGTTTAGGCTAGGCTCAGGCTGGTTTGCATTGAGAGGTTACCGTTTCGCGGTTTATCGAGATCTCGTCCGCGGTGCTGACGCTGTTTTCGAGCAGATTTCGCAGTGCATCGGTGAGACTGTATTCAGCGGGCTGAAAATGGAACGGTCTGCACTAACGCCTCGAGTATCGACCTGTTGATCATGTCCATACCGGGAATCGATCCGAATTGACATCATTCGCGCTGTACCTCCGATGGGACGATACTAAATGGCACAATCTGACGTTTTACCCCTGAGACTACCGTAACTAAAGCGGCTTCGAGGATTAGTGTGGCCACTTCCAAGGCCGGCACCCAGCAATTGTTGAAACCGTAGTGTAGATCGAAGGAAATTCTTGGAATGTGGGCAATCTGAAGTCAATAAATTATCGATCTCCTTCTGGTCCCTTTTAGAAAACGTCTAGCTCACCTGCTCAAACACTGCACAATACTCCGGATTGGCTAGTGGAGCAGCCGGCGCTCCGGGCATAACTTCTCCGCACGAAATCACAATCTGAAAAATTGCGAGGCTTGCAATTTTGAGTTTGTCAACTTCTACTTACGTGATGAGGTTGACGGGGTCGGAGTCGCTCTTCTCGTAGTATCGGACAAAGTTTGCCCAAGGGTTCACCGTGAAAAACAGTCGTCGATTTCCGATACACACACAACGCATCGCGATAAATAGGTGCCGTCTGGAATCATGGAAAATGATGCTCTCGTCAGATAATATAATTATAGTAGTATAATTTGGTTCTATCGGGGGGAGGGTTTACTGGCGGAATAACTAAAAATTCCTATTAACTGAATAGGAAGCGTTTCTATATTTTACCAGAAAAATTAGCTAAAAACTTTATAAAATTTTTGGACAACGTTGACATTCATTTTGGTCGACAAATCGAGATTTTTGATATTCTCTCTAAAAACTTTTTGAAGTTTTTAGTTTTTTCGTTTAAGAATAGTAAAAAAAGACTTCCACTAATTAGACTTGATAAATTAGTTCCAAAATTCAAGATCCAAGATTTCCAAAAAAACGACGCACCGGTCCATCACCGACGTGGCAGGTGAAGGAGAGATCGTGCTGGGGCAACGTCACCAGTAGCCGATTCAGAAATTCGCATTCAGCTTCCGCGCTGCCCATCTCTCTCGTTAATTGCCATGTATCATCGCCAATCGCCGGGTTTGAATCAGGGCTGTAAAGTGAAAAATAAACACCGTAAAATTTAAGCTTTCCAAGCCGAATAAAGTAAGTAAATGGCTCATCGATAAAAAAAGAGGGTCACGGCTAACCTACCCTTTCAACCACTTAAATGTCATCGGCAGCTTTGAATTCCAGAGATAAATCCTGACACTGTTAGGACTCACGACAAACCAACTGCCTATGCAATCGAACATCTGAAAGAAGCCGATTACACGATCTGTCTTTTTGCTTTTTCCTAGGGGGTCGAAAAGTTGGCCAATAATCAAATATTAAGTGTTTTTATATTTTTAGTAAGCCTTAACTATTTTTCAAGCGCAAAACCTCGCAAAAAAAGTTAGCCTTTGAAAAAGCCGACGTTCTGTTCACCGAGGTCGATCGGTCCACGGGTCGACACATAATTCAGCCGGGTCCGCATCAAAAAGCGATGCAGTACTTCTTCGCGGAATAACTCAAATTCAACGTTTATGAAATACTTGGGAGACAAACCCTCGAGGCTCGACGCAGCAGCAGTTTTTCGTCCGGACGGACGCGAAGCAAAACGCGCGATTTTAGAACCTCGGTCAGCTTCGTAAAATCGAAGCGGGTGGGTTCCGACATCCTGAAAATTTTTTCGATATCAAGCCGAAGAAGCGGAGCTGTTTCGTTAACGGGGGGGGGGCGTATTTATTGAGCCGCCTCGCATAAGGACCCTCAAGGAACATAGGAAAAAATGGGAACCAAACTGGGCAAAATCGAATAGGATTGCCATCGTGGTGTTCGAGGCATCTGCCCTATCCACTAATTTCCGATAAATCTGGCGGGACACCTGTCTGATGATAATAATGGATTAATGGTTTTGCGGTGAAATGGACCGGAATTCCGTAATTCTCCATGCCAAGGGATGGTGAGGGAGTATAAGAATTGGCTATTTTCAAACGAGCGCCCGGAGAATTGCGACATTTTTATCAGCAACATAGCCAATAATGCGTCTGAAGCGCGTGACCCCAGTAATTGCCGCGCACGATTCGAACGGTCGTTTCGTCTATGCTGCGTTTGTATGAAATAATAATTTATTATCCATTTGTTTGTATAATAAATAGCGTAGTTTCTCGGGTATTGTCGTCTGCCCCCACGCGCCATTTATCCTGCTACATGCGCGCACCGCGAAATTTTGCGTTTATGGCCCCTAAATGTTATTTCTGTGTCCCTGTTTTCTGTCTTTCGCATTACAGGGGGACCAACTTTTTTTTTCTTAGGATCGAATTTTTCGAATCTAAATAGTGTAAGTGTTTCTAAATGTTTTCTGTATCGGTAAATGGTATCCGGGGTCACGCGCCTCATACTCACTATTGCTAATAAAGGTTTAGTAAATTTCCGAGGGCTCGTTTGAAATTTTATACATTTTTATATTCGATTTTTTTATGCGGATCCTTATGCGAGGCGGCCATATCTGCCCCCCGAAAACGAAACAGCTCCGCTTATTCAACTCAATATCGACGAAATTTCCAGGATGCCGGAACCCATACGCTTCGACTTTACGAAGCTGACCGCGCTTCTAAAATCGCGCGTTCTGCTTCGCGTCCGTCCGGACGAAAAACTGCTGCTGCGTCGAGCCTCGAGGGTTTGTCTCCCAAGTATTTCATAACTTTTCAATTTGAGTTATTCCGCGAAGAAGTGCTGCATCGCTTTTTGATGCGGACCCGGCTGAAATATGTGTCGACCCGTGGACCGATCGACCTCGGTGAACAGAACGTCGGCTTTTTCAAAGGCTAACTTTTTTGCGAGGTTTTGCGCTTTAAATATAGTCAAGGCTTACTAAAAAAATATAAAAACACTTTATATTTGATTATTGGCCAACCACACAGGTCCATGCATCCACCCGAAATCCGCGTGGATTCCACCTGGAAATCGGGTAGAACGCATGGAAATCGGGCGGATGCAGTGGAAATCGAGTGGAAACGGGAGGATGACGCCGAGCGGACGCGAGTGGCCGGTGGAAATGAAGTGGAAACCGAGCGGATCCCCTTGGTTTCCACTCGATTTCCATGCGTTCCACCCGTAATCCACTCGATTTCCATCCTGCATCCGCCCCGAATCCACTCGATTTCCGTGTGGAATCCACTCGCGTCCGCGAGTGAAATTCCCCTCGCATCCCCTCCGGGATTCCGAGTGGATTTCGGGTGGATGCACGGACCTGTGTATTCGACCCCTAGGGAAAAGCAAAAAGGCAGATCGTGTAATCGGCTTCTTTCAGATGTATAGGCTATCGTTCGATTGCATAGGCAGTTGGTTTGTCGTGAGTCCTAACAGTGTCAGGATTTATCTCTGGAATTCAAAGCTGCCGATGACATTTAAGTGGTTGAAAGGGTAGGTTAGCCGTGACCCTCTTTTTTTTATCGATGAGCCATTTACTTTCTTTCTTTGGTTTGGAAAACACAGATTTTGTGTTTATTTTTCACTTTACAGCCCTGATTCAAACCCGGCGATTGGCGATGATACATGGCAATTAACGAGAGAGATGGGCAGCGCGGAAGCTGAATGCGAATTTCTGAATCGGCTACTGGTGACGTTGCCTCAGCACGATCTCTCCTTCACCTGCCACGTCGGTGATGGACCGGTGCGTCGTTTGTTGGAAATCTTGGATCTTGAATTTTGGAACTAATTTATCAAGTCTAATTAGTGGAAGTCTTTTTTTACTATTCTTAAACGCGTACTCTTCAAAAAGTTTTTATAGAGAATATCAAAAATATCGATTTGTCGACGAAAATGAATGTCAACGTTTTCCAAAAATTTTATGAAGTTTTTAGCTAATTTTTCTAGTAAAATATAAAAACGCTTCCTATTCGGTTAATAGGAATTTCTAGTTATTCCCCCGATAAACCCTCCCCCCGCCCGATCATGCGATAGAACCGAATTATACTACTATAATTATATTATCTGACGAGAGCAGCATTTTCCATGATTCCAGACCGCTCCTATCTATCGTGATTCGTTGTGTGTGTATCGAAATTCGACGACTCTTTTTCACGGTGAACCCTTGGGCAAACTTTGTCCGATACTACGAGAAGAGCGACTCCGACCCCGTCAACCTCATCACGTAAGTGGGCGTTGACAGACTCAAAATTGCAAGCCTCGCAATTTTTCAGATTGTGATTTCGTGCGGAGAAGTTATGCCCGGAGCGCCGGCTGCTCCACTAGCCAATCCGGAGTATTGTGCAGTGTTTGAGCAGGTGAGCTAGACGTTTTCTAAAAGGGACCAGAAGGAGATCGATAATTTATTGACTTCAGATTGCCCACATTCCAAGAATTTCCTTCGATCTACACTACCATTTCAAAAATTGCTGGGTGTCAGCCTTGGAAGTGGCCACACTAATCCTCGAAGCCGCTTTAGTTACGGTAGTCTCAGGGGTAAAACGTCAGATTGTGCCATTTAGTATCGTCCCATCGGAGGTACAGCGCGAATGATGTCAATTCGGATCGATTCCCGGTATGGACATGATCAACAGGTCGATACTCGAGGCGTTAGTGCAGACCGTTCCATTTTCAGCCCGCTGAATACAGTCTCACCGATGCACTGCGAAATCTGCTCGAAAACAGCGTCAGCACCGCGGACGAGATCTCGATAAACCGCGAAACGGTAACCTCTCAATGCAAACCAGCCTGAGCCTAGCCTAAACCTAAACCTAGGCCTAAGCCTGAGCCTAAACCCAACTTCAGCCTAAGCCTAACCTAAGCCTTAGCAGTGAGCAAGCGAACTTCGTTTTCGTTTGTTTTTATACACAATTATTTCAGCTAATTCGATGTCGGTCGGACTGGCCTACCGCCGACACAGTTGTAATTGTTCTCGCGCAGAATTTCGAGCCGGGCAACTTAGAGCTACGACGTGAGAAGATTCGACTGGCCAATTACAAGTGCTTGGAGAAATGGCCAAAACACCAACAAACCGATATTTCACGCCAATAATGACCTTTATTAACCGTTTCCCTGTTGTTATTCGCATTCACCCTTGTTTAATGATGCAATAAAGGTTTTGAAAAGTAATTTTAAGATCTTTACAAAATTTTACGGTAAGGGCTTCGCGGCTGAAATCAGCTGGCTTTCGGGCTGCCCTGTATATCGTGCCACCACCAAATTGTTTCAGAACCAATCGCCATCACCATTGAAAACCGGGCCGGCCCTCTCGGCCCAAAAACGGGCCGACCCCCCTCGGCTTGAAAACCGGGCGCCCCGAATTTCGGGCCGACGCTCGGGTCAACCCAGTTTTACTATGCAAGATAAAAGATGAACATCATTTTCGAGCAGTTCGCACAACTCGGCGCTAATTCGATTGCAACTCATTTGGGGGTCGTTTGGTAGCATTTCTTCGAGATTGTTCGTATTGTTTTTTTTTCATTATTCATAAATCGTTGACGGTCCCGTCCAATACAGAATCAGCTCACCATGCCGGTCGACAGCTTCGATTTTCGGAAGTTGTCGGAGACACAACGGACGGCCGTCTACCACCATCTTCGGTTCTCGGAAAAGCTCGAGCTGCGACGAGTTGCGAAGGTATAGTTTAGCTACGAACCTAAACTTGGAAAAATTCTAGCACTCTCGTGTAGCTTTGTATAATTATAAGCTTCCTGTTTAGGTCTTCATGGAAAGACCAGCGCATCGCCTTCTGTTTGCCACACGATTTGATGGCGTCGCGGTCTTCTGTCCTTGTGAAGTAAGCTACCGGGAGTGAATAGGGCGAAGAAGCTAATTTTTCCGTCTATCTGCTGATACTCAACCGTATTTTTACAAGGATTTAAAAACTTTTTGACCATTTTGGTAGTTTTCATTCATTTTTTGATCAGAAAGCCACTAATTTTCGAAAGCCTTTCTGATTTTTGCTGCTATTATTATCTAAATCCTGCCGAAAATACTTCAAAAATTTGCGTGATTTCCTTATGGGACCATGCTATTTTACGAGGGCAAAATTTTGCCCCCGTTAACTCCCTCCCCGCTAAAAGCCGAGTACCAAAAATTCATGCCAAAAAATTGTTCGACATGAAATTGAGCCGTGAATTTGGCTAAAAAACGATTGATCTGCCAGAAATTTACCATTTAAGGCAGCGGATCGTCGTGGTACCGAGATCAGGGTTGTCGCATCGCGCGTGGGCCGTACCACCTTTATGATCAAACTCGGGAATCCGGTGCTACCCATGGAAATGCAATATTATGATTAGTAAGTCGCTCCAACGCGAGTCATGCAAAAGGTTTAGTAGTGAGGTCGCGCAAGCTCCCAGCGTTTTGAAGACAATCGACTCCAAAAAGAAGCAGCACAAATTTGTCAACCGGCTGACCGCTTCGATCCCACCACATAGCGTCTACTTTTGGCATCATGAATGCGGATATGTGAGTGTCCATTGTGATGCAGGGTGTCCGAAAAAATCACCCCTCCGGTCCCATACTTTGCACTGGGGTGTAGCGGACCATCAGTAACCACAATCCTGAGTTATAGCCCCATCGCTACAGTAGTCCCCCAGCTATCCCCCAAATATTGTTTTTTTTACGCTCTTGTTCACAGTTTTTCGGCTATTTTTTACACTTTACAATGTTTTGCAACGACTGTCGCGGATGCCCTCAGTTCCTCGTAAAACATTTAAATTAGCTTGATTTAGCGCCATTTTTGTCAGGAAAAATTTTCAGGGGTCAAGAAGGCATGCCGCATCATTTTCAATTAATATTTGCCGGGTCGATTTCGACCAAAAACCCTATGAAAAAAGCATAATAAATTTGATTTTTGTTGTAACTCAAAAACGACTGTAGCTAGCGGGCTGTAACTCAGGATTCGGTTATTTAGGGCCTGAGATTTTGGGATCGACCGGATGTAGGGCGGCTAAATTCAGGGTGCTGTTTTTGGATCATCATGTACATTATAAAATATAGAATACTGGTAACTTCTTTTTTTGGTTTTAAGGCTGGTGGCTGCGTACGTCCGTATATCGACGTGTTGCGCTGGTCGATTAAGGCGGAACACACCCGCTGGACGGTCGAGGGTTTGCCGGAAGTGCTGCAACAGGAGCGGGAGACGCTGCGAAGGCAAAATTCTTGCGTAGGTGATTTAGGTGTCATAGGGGTCATGTCAAGACGTATACTCCATAAAGCGTTCAAGACGTTCTGGAATAATTCCAAGCTAAGCCTAAGCCTAAGCCTAAGCCTAACTGTAAAGTGTTTTTACTCAAGTTGGAGTTACGATTCGGGACCAAGTGCACCTTGTGCAGAATTTTTTTCTCTGATTCCGAATCCGCTTTCCAAATTTGCTGCGGACTTTTATTTTGAAAGTTATACAGCAGTTATGGTAGTGTTTTTCACCAAAATCAAGGAACCGTTATCGTTTTCGATTTTCCTGATCAATTTCAACTTCAAAATTGGCTAGAGATTGGCTAGACAAGCATCTTAAAAGTCAAAACAGGCTTTTTTATAAAAATTAAATTTTTTTATGCAATAAGCAAAAGGAAGGTGCAGGGCGGAGAACCGAACCCCCGCCCTGCGCTTGGCAAGCGAGTACTTTGCCAATGCACCATGGTGCCAACCGGGAGGGGAGCTGTAACAGAGTACTTCAGGGCCCCTGGGAGAGGCAGAACCTTGGAGGGAATAGTGGACCAGGATCCGAATTTTTGGCTTTTTCAAGCTTAATTTGCACCAAAAATGACTTTTTAAATAAAAGTCCGCAGCAAATTTGGAAAACGGATTCGGTATCAGAAAAAAAATTCTGCACAAGATGCACTTGGTCCCGAATCGAAACTCCAACTTGAGTAAAAACACTTTACAGTAAGCCGAGGCTTAAGCCTGGGTGGATGGAGCTCAACTCACTTTTTTGGTCAGCTCCTTTTCGAATCGTTTGTTTAGGTGGAAATCTTCCTCAACGATAACGGCAGGTTTCGTAAGGGCCACCCCGCGCTTTGCCATTATCCCAAAATTTTCGAGCAGGTAGGCGGAATCATCTTTTTTCTTTGTTCTTTTCATTCATCTTTTTAACTACATCCAGGTGGCTCATCTCCCCAGGATTTGCCTAACCGCCGACTCGGCCGACCACAAACTTTGGCCACGCGCGATGAGCGTGCTGGAAGTGCTGCTCGAAGCAGTGATGGTTAGGGTAAGAGGGCTAGCATAGGCTTAGACTTAGCTAAGTCTTACAGTAAAGTGTGTTTACTCAGACTGGAGCTTTGAAACGAAACCAGGCCTATCTCGTGCAGAATTTTACGCTGATTCCGAACCTGTTTTCAAAAGTCGCGGAATGACAATTTTTGAAAAGTCCAACGTGTTTTAGTGTGCTACAATGTAAAAAGACGCAAACTTCAATGCCCCATAAAATTGACAGGAGCCGACTCCGGAAGTGTTCGATAGTGCGTTTTACTGCGAAAAACATGGGCTTTCAGATGTGATGTCTTGTGGACGCTTATCGGGTAATCAAAAGCCAAACCCGCTGCTTTTCAACTTCGTGTGGTGGCACCCCTCCTTAAATAAAATATTTTTTACAGTTATGGCTTCCGGATTTTCAACATGCCCCTATCTGAAAGCCCATGTTTTTCTGAGTTAAACCCGCTATAGAAAACTTCCGGAATCGTCCCCTAGCGATTTTTATGGGGAATTGAAGTTTGCGTCTTTTTGCATTGTCGCATACAATCCAAAAATTGCCATTCCGCAACTTGTGAAGACAGATTCGGAATCAGCGTAAAATTCTACACAAGGTAAGACACTTTACTGTTTTTAGGCTTAGGCTTAGGCTTAGGCGAAAAATTTAAAATTCCAGCGATATTTTAGTATCGACCAATTGACGGAGCTGCTCGCCTGACTACTATCAAATTCGTCTTTCTAATATATGATGCTAGCGAGGTATGTGAATAGAAATCCGCGATTTTATTTTCACTGCCTTTTGGTTCTTTCGCCTTATCGGGTGGGGAGGACCTAATTTCCGTCCTAGGATTCATTTTTTTGAAATACAAATAGGACGTTTCTAAGCTGTTTTTTACTATTCCATCTATCCAACAAAACTATCCAAATTTGAATTTACAAAAAAAAAGAAAACTAAAAAAACTTGAAAAAGTGATTTTTTTCGGGGAAAATGACCACATTTTCGACTTTTCAAAGATTTTCTAACTTTTTTTTGAAGGTTTTTCTACTTTAAATATAGTTAATACTTACTAAAAACAATGTAAAAACGCTTTATATTTGATTACTGGGCCAAACGGCTCGCTAAGAAAAAAACTGAAAAAATTATGTCGGAATCGCAATTTCAATAGCATCCAGGTAAAACACAAATATATTTGAGCCGGACCATCGACTCCCGGAGCAGCTCACCGAATTTATCAAGGCGAATCTTGGACCCGACGTCATCGTGGAAATCGAGCGCAGCATCGAGGTATGTAAAACGCGAATTTTTCGTTCTGGTCTGTTAGCGGGGGGGAGGTGTTCAGCATGCGCGAAACTAGTAATTTTTTTGCACCTGACGATGATAAATTATGCATTTTTATAGTGTTTTTAGTAGTTTTTGATTGCTAGAAAGTCATAAAAAATATTTCTCGAAATTTTCGAAATTCGGAAATTTTTGACGTGTTTGTGGATTTTTCATATATTTTTCAGAAAAAGTCAAAAATTTTCGAAATTTTTTATTATTTTTCAAAATTGTTTTCATATCTAAAAAAGGATGTAAAATGCTATAAAAATGGTGTGATTTTGTTATATGGCCGTAGAGAATCACAGGGAAAAGTTTGGTCCCCCCCCCGCTAACAGTCCAGAACCATCGTTTTTGAGATTACCGAATACCGGCACCCGGATGGACCGTGGCGCGTCGACCAGTGGCGCGTGATGATTGCCGAAAACTGCGCGCGTGGCACGTACGAGCTGCGCGCCGAAAAGCCATGCCCGGGCGGTCCGCCCGAAGATTGGGTTAGGCAATGGCCAGTGGAAGGAAGTTAATGTGACGTTACCCGTATCTTTTGGTCCTTTTTTACATGAATAAATCGGTTTTAATCGATAGCGTAACAGAGAATTGAAAACAACATGATAGTCCGTGAAAATGGAGGGGTACTACACTGTTAGCGGGGGGAGGGGGTTAGAAAAAAAAATTTCGAAATTTTGGATTTCGACATTTTGAAGATTGGACATTACGAAATTTCGACATTCTGATTTTTGGCATTATCAAAATTCGACTTCGGCATTAGGAAATTTCGACATTTTGAAATTGCGACAATATGAATTTTTTCATTATGAAATTTCGACCTGATAATTTGCGACATTTTGATAGCAAATCCAAGTAACCCTAATGCTTCCCCATGCCATGCTGCTTCCTGGCCGAGATGATTTGGGGGGAGCCCAAGATCCGGGATGGTTGACTGGTTCCTGAATGGGGGCTTCATCTCAGGCTGAAGAGACCCTGAAAGGAGACAGCTTTCAGGGGGAGCTAGAGCCGGGCCATGCCAGACCACATCCGGCATTTTGTCTCTCTACGGACGCACATACGGCAAAAATGGGCTTTGTTGGCCCCACCCACATATAAGGGGGGGAGGGGGATATTGTCCGGGTGGAGTGCCTTGGAATTTGATTACTTTTCAGAAGGTAGGGGAGCGCTAGGGCCGTTCCCTCCATTTTTGCGGATATTCTCACAGGCGTTGGAATTCACGGAAAATATTTTCGAAGCTACGCAGGAAGCTGGGAGCTGGGAGCTGGGAGCTGGCTACACAACTTCCAAAGCGCAGGTGAGAAAAGCTGGGTATTTGTGCTTTTTACGAACAAAGGACACGGTAAGTCTCAGCCTAAGTCCATGCTAATGTCTAAGCTTAAGTCCAAGCCTAAACCTAAGCTTCAGCCTACGCCTAAGCGAAGCCTCAGCCTAAGCGTCAACCTAAGCCTGCTAGGGCCGAAGCCGAAGTCAAGCTTCGGAAACCTGAAACCTAATAAGTTATGCCTAAGCCTAAGTCAAGTCCAAGCCCCACCTTAAGCCTAAGCCTAAGCCCCAGCTCAACTCTAGGCCTACGCGTTAGCTTAAGCTGAAGCCTAAGCATAAGCCTAAGCCAAAGCCGAAGCGAACCCTAAGGCTAAGATGCACCTGCCTAAGCCTAAGCTTATGCCGAAGCCTGTTCCCAAGCCAAGCCCAAGCCTAGGCCTAAGCCTAAGACTAAGCCTAAGCTTGAGCTTACCTTTCCCAAGAGTTCTTTGCTAGTTGACGTTCCTGAGATTCTCGGCAAGCTCGCACAGACTACTGGGGAAGAGTGAGAGACAGAAAGAGAGAGAGAGAGAGAGAGAGAGAGAGAGAGAGAGGGAGAGAGATGGAGAGAGTGCAAAAGAAACCTTCCCCCCACATCGACCAACCCACCAAACGTGCGAATTCTGTAATTACACCCGGTTGAAACTTCACTCCAAACTCTCCGCGTTTTTCGGGGCTCTTCGAGGGCCACCAGGGGGCACCAAATTAAATTTTTCCGGTGGATGGGCAACTTTGGGGGAGGGGAGAAGCAGAAGCAGAAGCCAAGAGTGAGTTGGGAGTCACTCTAGCGCAAAGGTTAACCCCCGCGCTGGCCCCCGTTTATTTGGGTCGACGCGCTGGCTGTGTGATTTTTGAAGTATTGGGATGTTGCCAAGTCGCTCTCCCACTCTGGCTTCTTTGGTTCTCTTTTCTAATGGGTCTCCGTTGCCTGCCTCTTTTGGATTCGCTTACGCCCCTCTCTCTCTCTCTCTCTCTCTCTCTCTCTCTCTCTCACTCTCTGTCTCTCTCTCTGTCTCTCTCTTTCTCTCTCTATCTCGGTCTATCTCTCTCTCTCCCTCTCTTTCTCTACTTCTTAGGCGCTCTCTCTCTAACACGATTTCTGGAGCTCTATCCCTCGCTCTCTCTCACTCTATCTATTTCTCTCGCTCTCTCGTTCTTGCTCGCTCTCTCCCTTCCGCAATGATCTCTGCCAGCCGACCAGTTTCAACTGGAAGCTAACTAGCAGAGATTCTTTCTGAAAAGTTGGACAATTTTGTTTTTAAAGGGATAGTGCCAGTTTACGGACTTTGGCAAGCTAACAGAGACCCTTAGGGAATCTTTAACATGGACGCGTGGTTTTCCCTTAAAAAATCTTGAAATGTGTTCACATCTTCGGCTAATGTTTGCTCATTTTCTCTCTCGCTCTCTCTCTCTCTCCCTCTCTCTCTCTCTCTCTCTCTCTCTCTCTCTCTCTCTCTCCTAAAAATCCCCTAAAAACACATGGATCTCGTGTGTGTGTGTGTGTGTGTGTGTGTCCTGGGACAATAAGTAAGGGGAACCCCGCCCTTCCCTTTTCCGCTTTTTCCTCAAGAATTCCTGAATGCTCGATCGGGCATATTCCTCTCCCTCCTGAATATATGCGGCCCCAGACAACCACCACTTCATCTCTCTCTCTCTCTCTCTCTCTCTCTCTCTCTCTCTCTCTCACTCTCTCTCTCTCTCTCCATTTCTCTCGGAAGGCACTTAACGTTATAACTATTTCTTTGTATTTGCCCTCTTCTCTTGACTGCCCTTTCCCGATCTAGCAGCTTCAGCTATAGAAGCCCTAAAAGCTCGCCAGACCGGCTCACGTCATATTGGAAATTATGATTTGCTTTGGTGAGTTCTAGCAGTAAAAAATGATCTCTCTCTCTCTCTCTCGCTGGGTCTTTCCAAAATGGGGTGAAACCCTCTGAAAAACGTTGGCCCAGGCTTAGGTTTAGGTTTAGGCTTAGGCTTCGGCTTAGGCATAGGTTTAGGTTTGGGCCTGACAGTTAGCTTTCTGCTTTAAATGTACAAGAAAGCCAAAAATAGGAAATTCCAGCTATGGAAAACCGTAAATTTTAGAAATGGACACCCGACCCTCCTCCTTCCTCCTCTTCCTCGCCGTGGCGATGTGCTCCATTTTGTGCCTATTTTCCGTGTCCGTACTGTTGATATTCCACTGCTGCCGTGTCAAGGATTTGCCGCAAGCCATCAGTGAGGTAAAGAGAACGAGAGAGAGCGAGAGAGAGAGAAAGAGCGAGAAAGATGTTTTTCAATATTCTTTTCAGCGAGCTCGGGCTTCGATGCTTTACGCAAGAAATTCTATCTTTGGTGGTTCAGGTACGTCTTTTTCATAAGTTTCAAAGCAGGCTAGCAGAGATTCTTTAGGAAATACAGGCTAGCAACGATTCTTGACGACACTTCTTTGGGCAGGCTAGCAGAGACCATTCCGGATTTCAGGGATCGAGCTCGACGAGGATGACGATGAATATCGTGGATCTGGCTGGGACGATAGCTGTCGCGCGTCGGCTTCTAGCGTGAAGCGCGGGTCGTTCTTTGTGCCCGGCTGGTCGAAATGGGGTGGTAGACACTCGTTGGCGCCGACGCAATGTGTATAGTTTCTCTCTCTCTCCCTCTCTCTCTCTCTCTCTCTCTCTCTCTCTCTCTCTCTCGTCCCGGGTCTGAATTGTGATTCTCGATTCGTTTTGCTATTTAATAAATATTTGTATATTTGTAGTTTAAGATTATATTCTATTTATTAACGCAGAGTAGTCAAGGGGTCCAATAAAGCAGCGCTTGCACGCAGTGTCGACAGGTCCCGTCCGAGGTTTTTTCGTCAATCTCCGAATGTCAAGCGGGGACTCGCCGGAGGGCGTTTCGGAGCTGGAATTAAGGAAATAGCGTTTTGCATCTCTCGCTCTCGCTCTCTCTCTCTCTTTCTCTCTCTCTCTCTCTCTCTCTCTCTCTCTCTCTCTCTCTCTCTCGCCCACCTCTCCCAAATTCCTCGAATTCGCTGCCTGTAAAATCTCGTCACCCGTTCCGAGAGGTAGTCGCAGGATGGCGGACCTGAATTAGCGTAATTTTCAATTTCTGCGGATTCCACAAGAATATCTGCTAGCCTGCCTTTTCCATTCTCAAATGATCTCAGCTAGACTGCCCACCTCATCGTATTCCAAATGCTCGATGTCTCCTTCTCGCCTTTCTGTGATTCGAGGGCCATTGCAAAGTGTTCAACGGCTTCCCTGAAGGGAGTGGATTTTAAAGGGACGGTGACAGCAGCTCACCTATGGCTGGAGAGGTGCATGCAGCTAATTCCAAGGTTGAAGCGGGCTCGAACGTATGCAGGATACCTTAAAACTCGCATTCAGCTTGCTCCCTCTTTCTATTGCTCTCGCTCTCTCTCTCTCTCTCTCTCTCTCTCTCTCTCCAACCTGCTAAGCGCTTCACGATACGCACTAATGGCTTCAGCTGTCTGATCCCCATTGGCCAGAGTAGCTCCCAGACGATTCCATAACCGGGGATCCTGAAAAAGACAGGCTAGCAGAGATTCTTGAGGAAAGGGCAGGCTAGCAGAGATTCTTGAGGAAGACCCTCACCTCTGGCTTATGCTGCACGGCCATCCGCATACAATCAATTGCCCGATGAAAATTCCTGTTCAAATTGTACAGCACGCCGAGGGCATTTTGCAGCTCGGCATCTCCGGCTCCTTCCTGTTGACGGGCCGCGTCAAGGAATTGTTCTTCTACCTGCAAAAGTCAGGATACAGCGGCACTTTAGGCTGACATACCTTCCCAAAGTAGTTGTGATCCAGGAACGAGCTGTAGAGAGGTTTCGCTCGTACTACCGTAGCCGGATCTCCGCCATTGTGGGCCTGAAATGGGCATAGGCATAGGCTTAGGCATAGGCTTAGGCTTAGGTTTAGGCTTGGGCTTAGACGTAGGCTTGGCTTAGGCTTACCACAATCCACTTTTCCAGGTTTTCCAAGGCGTCGTTCTCCAGATTCTCGTTGGCCAGGGAAACGGAGAGCCCAAGCAGAGCTTGCTGGTTGGCCGGGTTGATATCAAGGCACTTCCGGAAGGCCGTGATTGCTCGGGTATCGTACTCATTCTCCGCCAAGGAGAGCCCGAGGTTGCACCAAGCCTGAACATATAGCGTTTTCTCTCTCTATATCTCTCTCCCTCTCGCTCGCTCTCCCCTTTCTCTCGCCTGTGCATCTTGTGGATCTTGACGAGTCGCAGCTTCATAAGCCAAAATTGCGCCTCCCAAATCGCCCTGCTGTAGCAGATCATCTCCAACTTCCGTCGGATTGGCAGAGGTCAAGAATGGGTTCGATTCCTGAAGGATTTTGTTGAATTGTTGAAGGAGGAATGAGAGATAGAGACAGAGAGACAGAGAGAGACCAAAAGAGAGATAGAGAGAAAGAGGGAGAGAGAGAGAGAGAGAGAGAGAGAGAGAGAGAGAGAGAGAGAAAGAAAGAGAAATTCAAACTGGCCACCTCATGAACATACTCCTCATTGATCGTCTCCTTGCTGAACTGCTGGTGGACGGCGTCGAGCTGAAAATTGGGCGATCAATTCTCTCTCTCGCTCTCTCTCTCTCTCTCACCCTCGATTTATCCCATATCTCATCCCATGCCTGGTCCATCTCCGCCGCCCTCGACTGCTTCTCCACCTCCGCATCAGCCCAGGCGTCCGTGTAAATGTCCGTCTGAAACGACAACTTCGACATGCCCAGATTTTCTGGCGGTTTTTAAGGGGATTGTGCTAAAATAAATTAACTCGTGCTCCCGGGGCCTCAAAAGGAGTGCTTTTTTGAGTCATCGGCAAAACCTTACGAGACCTAGCTCATTCGATAGAGAATTTGATTCTGAACAAGACCCGTTGTCCTTTTTTGCGGTATGGCTATCCCTGTTAAAAAATCAAAAATTTTTAATTTAATTTTAATTAAAATAAATTAAAAACTAGTGGTTGTCTCTTACCATGAGTGCCCTTCGAGCGAAAAGAGAGCCTTTCGAGTGTAGTTTTAAAATTTTATACAATCAGGAATAGGCCATTCCGCAAAAAAGGACAACCGGCTCTTGTTCAGAATCGAATTCTCTATCGAATGGGCTAGGTCGCGTCAGGTTTTGCCAATGACTCAAAAAAGCACTGTTCGGAAACAAATTCGGGGGTGTGCTATGGAAGGGTAAAACGCACCTCGCACACGCTACACTGGCAGCGCGTGCCCGACTGAAACGGAAAAATTAGTTGTTTTTGAGTGATTTCCGAGTCTCTGTAAGATTGGACCTACCCTCGTCTTGCCAAGAGAAGTATCGACTTGATCCAAAAATTCGGCCGACCACATGCCGCTGTCGTGGGAGGAGCTGAACAGGATTCTTTAAGAGAGGGATGGCTAGCAGAGATTCTTGAAGAAAGGGCAAGCTAGCAGGGATTCTTTAGGAAAGAGCAGGCTAGCAGGGATTCTTTAGGAAATGACAGGCTAGCAGAGATTCCTTAGGAACAGGCATGCTAGCAGAGATTCTTTAGGAAAGGGCAGGCTAGCAGAGATTCTTTAGGAAAGGGCAGGCTAGCAGAGATTCTTTAGGAAAGGGCAGGCTAGCAGAGATTCTTTAGGAAACGCACCCCTGCTGCAAGTTAGCCGGGACGACGGCTTGAGACCAGGCTGCTTCCATGGTGCGACTCGGCATTGCCGCTTGATACTGGTTGGCCCATTGGTTTCCTGCAAAAAAGTTTGGGCTTCGCTTGGCTTAGGCTTTGCTTTGGCTTGGCTTGGGCTTACTCTTGGGCTTACCTAAACTTTGTTGCTGCGCTGACGCAAATTCGCTGCCCCACTGTTGGGCCATGGCGGCGGTCTTCGCGGAATTTGGGCGTTGGTGGAGGAAGGCCTGGAAAGAAAGAATTAGGCTTAGGCTTAGGCTTAGGCTTAGGCTTCCATTCGTCTTCGGCTTACCCCAGTATTAAATGACCTCGGAGCGGCCGTCCTCTGCGCTTTCTGCTGCAAAAACTCATTCGCAAACAGCTCGCCCTGGGATGAAGAGGGCAGGAGGCTTGATGAGGCTAAAATCGAGTTTTGATCATGTTTTAAAGCGAATTCCAAGCCCGGTTGGCGAAGGTTCCTTAAGAAAAGGGACTAGCAGAGATCTTTAGGGAATCCACTTGCCTTGAGGAATATTTGATTGAACCCGTTGATTAGTAGTACCAAATTGGTTGGCAAGGCCGACCAGGTCGTTTGAACGTCCACATTCCCCCTCTACGATGCGCTTCATCTTTCTGAAATGAAAATAAAGCGAGAGAGAGAGAGAGAGAGAGAGAGAGCGAGAGAGAGAGCGAAGAAGAGCGAGAAAAGGAAACAGACAAAAGATATTTTGTTGCGTAGTTAGGTTAGGCTCAGGCTGAGCTGAAACACTCAATTTTTCGGTTTCGAATTTCGAATTTTTAGGATTATATCTTACCATTAATAACCGGAAATTAGGATAATTGAATAGCTGAAAAATGATCGATACGATGCCAAAATTGGCGCGAGGCGCGGGGGCAAAGAAAATGCGGGTATCCGTCATTTCTTATCACTCATCGCTCAATTCCCCACACTGCTGAATGCTCACCCAAAAGATAGAGTACGCCGGACGCCAAACTACGCTTCCAATTGGGGGCGGCAGATGTCGCTCTTTTTGACATTAAAGGGAGACTCTAATTTCACGAACGGAATTTGGTGACAGTTAGCAGAGATTCTTTAGGAAAGGGCAGTCTAGCAGAGATTCTTTAGGAAAGGGCAGGCTAGCAGAGATTCTTTAGAAAAGGGCAGGCTAGCAGAGATTCTTTAGGAAAGGGCAGGCTAGAGGATTCTGAGGAAATAGCTTTCCAATACTTTCTCCCACTCAGAGCCGTCTTAGGCAAGCTAGCAGAGATCCTTTGCTTCCTTCTACTCATTTCGTATCGTCCACATCGTATCATAAGGGCCATTATCGGCTTCTCGAAAAAGGGAAGACCAGCCATATGCCGGAAGTCTCTTTTCTTAGGTTCGAAGGTGGGGGTGAGAGCGAGAAAGAGTGAGAGAGAGAGAGAGGGAGAGAAAGAGACAGAGGCAGAGAGCTAGCTTCAGATGCCAGCGTGGTGCCCACAATTATCCCCTCAACACCCGCGCACCACCCAAAATATGTCGCGGCTGCGGCCGGTGAACATTTGTCCTCCGGATTCGTATCTACACCGCTGAGGGGCTATATACCTTGCAAAAACTGTCTACTTGCGATATATAAGTTCCGCCTCTTGCTGCACTTCAAAGCCTAAGTTCAAGCTTAAGCCTCAGCGAAAACCTAAGTCTGTCTCTGAGCCGAACTAAGCCACAGCTTACGCCTGAGCCGAAGCTTAGGCCTAATCCTAAGCCCAACCCTAATTCTAAGCCTAAGTCTAAACCCTATAAACCTACGCCTAATCCAAGCCGAAGTGCAAGCCAACGCCTAACGAAGCTTAAGCAGCAGCCGAAAATTCGAGAATTTAGCTTTGTTTTATGAATTCAGCTTCGTAATCCTTGCTCCTTGGCCGCCCATTCTCGCGCTATATGTGTTTTTTCTTTCCTTTTGGCCTTTGGGCCCTTTCGTGGGGCCAAATCTTTGATTTTTCCGTTTTCGGGGCCCATTTCGGGGCCGCAAGCTGCAGTGAAGTGGCAAGAGGGGGTTCGCGAGGTGGCGGGCCATATTTTTTACGTTTTTTACTTGACTTTCTCCATTTTCTTTCTGCATTTTTTGCTGGGATCTAGGGTGCAAATTTTCCAGCGAAATCGACTTTTCGTCGAATCATTTAAATTTTCGTATTTCAAAGGTTTTCTGAGGTCTTTTTGTTTTTCTAGCATGAACTCGTCGCTTTATGCTTTATGCTATTTTGTGACCTACATACCGTACCCCAGATGGTCGACCTGGCCTCGAGCCCCCAGGGCCCCTTCCATCGGCAGCACATTTGCCCCTGCAATGTGCCGTTCGACTTTAGGCCGATTCGGGTGGGTTTTAAGTGAACCGTATGCTGTCACCATCCCTTTAACTACCTAGCGTAATTGATTAGGTGAAATTCCTCTAAAAATTGCACGAATTTTTAATTTTTAGTTTTTTTTACCAAAGCATGGAAAAATTAATTTTTTGTGGCTTTCGGGCGATCAAAATATTATTAAAAATATGATAAAAAATGCCATTTATTATAAACAGTTCGGTATATACGGAAAAACATAAATTTGTTCCCCTGCTTAAATCATTACCTCCCCCCGCTAACAACTGAGTACCAAAAATCCCAGTTTTTGGCACCATCCCTTTAAATACCTAGCGTAATTAGTTTTCGGTGAGAAAATTGGGCACGTGGTACACTTCCCGCTTCCCGGGGACGGTACCCAAACGCCGTTTTCTCTTCAGATCCACGTCTACCGCAACGGCGACGAGCGGAACAGCAGCCGGGTCGTGCACGTGACGAGGCGATACTTTCGACATTGGATCGTTTTTCTGGATCAGTTGACAAAGATTTTGAAGGCACGGGACGGGCTAGAGGACGCTACAAACTACAAAAATTTTCAGACCACCACTGCTGTCAATAAACTGTACACGATAGATGGAAGGCAAATTAGTCATGTGGGTTGATTAAAGAATTGGTCTCTCTCTCTCTCTCTCTCTCTCTCTCACGCTCTCTATCGTTCTCGCTATCTCTCTCTCTCTCTATCTCTATCTCCCCTCTCTCGCTTTCTCTCGCTCTTTCTGGCTCCCTCTCTCTCAGTTTCTCCATTCCAGTTCGAAGACCTCGAGCCGGACGGAGAATACGTAGCCGTAGAAAGAGGCCCATTCATCCCCTGCAACTACGGTACCCTAGCTGAGAAATTGCGAAATAGAAATACGGTATTTTTAGTGCGCAATAGCGCTAGCAATTTTTTTTATTTTTAGCGCTTCGTCGTGCCAGGAGCCTCTCGAAACGGGCATAATGGAGAGCATTTTCTGAATGGTGCCGAGGGGGTGGATATCTACTTGAAGCAGCATGTACGTTCGGGCAGGCTAGCGGAGATCATTTGGGAATGGAAGGGGCAGACTAGCAGAGATCATTTGGGAATGGAAGGGGCAGGCTAGCAGAGATCATTTGGGAATGGAAGGGGCAGGCTAGCAGAGATCATTTGGGAATGGAAGGGGCAGGCTAGCAGAGATCATTTGGGAATGGAAGGGGGCAGGCTAGCAGAGATCATTTGGGAATGGAAGGGGCAGGCTAGCAGAGATCATTTGGGAATGGAAGGGGCAGGCTAGCAGAGATCATTTGGGAATGGAAGGGGCAGGCTAGCAGAGATCATTTGGGAATGGAAGGGGCAGGCTAGCAGAGATCATTTGGGAATGGAAGGGGGCAGGCTAGCGGAGCTCATTTGGGAATGGAAGGGGCAGGCTAGCGGAGATCATTTGGGAATGGAAGGGGCAGGCTAGCAGAGATCATTTGGGAATGGAAGGGGCAGGCTAGCAGAGATCATTTGGGAATGGAAGGGGGCAGGCTAGCAGAGATCATTTGGGAATGGAAGGGGCAGGCTAGCAGAGATCATTTGGGAATGGAAGGGGCAGGCTAGCAGAGATCATTTGGGAATGGAAGGGGGCAGGCTAGCAGAGATCATTTGGGAATGGAAGGGGCAGGCTAGCAGAGATCATTTGGGAATGGAAGGGGCAGGCTAGCAGAGATCATTTGGGAATGGAAGGGGCAGGCTAGCAGAGATCATTTGGGAATGGAAGGGGCAGGCTAGCAGAGATCATTTGGGAATGGAAGGGGGGCAGGCTAGCGGAGCTCATTTGGGAATGGAAGGGGCAGGCTAGCGGAGATCATTTGGGAATGGAAGGGGCAGGCTAGCAGAGATCATTTGGGAATGGAAGGGGCAGGCTAGCAGAGATCATTTGGGAATGGAAGGGGGCAGGCTAGCAGAGATCATTTGGGAATGGAAGGGGCAGGCTAGCAGAGATCATTTGGGAATGGAAGGGGTAGGCTAGCAGAGATCATTTGGGAATGGAAGGGGCGGGATAGCAGAGTTTATTTGATACGGGCTGCCAGTCTGAAGTCACGATATTTTTAGGGCTACGGCTCTTGCACCGGTCTACCGTATCCGTTCGATGGGTTTGAGAAAAGCCCCTCATGCTCATATATACACTCGATGGTGAATGGGGAGGAAGAGCTGATGGTTCCGGTGCCGAATCAGCCCTCATGGTTAGCCAGGGAGGCGGCAAAGGTGAGGTAAACTGGCAGGGATTTTTTATAAAAGGGCAAACTAGCGGAGTTTCTTTAGGAAAGGGTGGGCTCGCAAAGATTATTTCCGAATTCTAACCCATTTTTCAGCAGCACCCAGCATCCCCTCGCGCAGCCAAGAGTCAACCGGATTTGCGCATCAATCTCGACGACTTTTCCGGAAATGGAAACATTCCGGAACCGCCGGAAAATAGCGCTAACGAAAACAGACGGAGCGGCACCGTAAATTTGCCAAAAATGGAGGCATCCGGACGAACTGAAGCCTCTGGGACTCTAGCGATCCCTGCTCGGGTGAGGTTGCAAGCAGCAAACGGATTTTAAAGGGCGGGACAAGGCAAAATTAGTTATGGATTGGTACGGAACGGTTTAATTTTTACGTTTAAGCCTTTTAAAAAGGCTAGGAAGGGCCAAATCGACCCCTTCGATTGGCTAGGTCTCAACAAGTAAGCGCTACGCCAAGGGGCGTTCTGCCTTCCTCGTCTCTCTCTCTCTCTCTCTCTCTCTCTCTCTGTGTATCTTTGTCGAGACCTTGTAATCTTTCGGGTGTGGTTTTCGTGTTCTTCCCAGCTCCTTTAAAGGACCATTAAAGCACGATTTCGCTTGCCTCCCTCAGATTCAGTTGCTTCTAGGCCCCATCCAGGCTTCAGACCTCATCTGAAGCTTCGAAACACGCCAGAATCCAAGAGGAACCCGACTTGAATGCTGTCGTGATCAAAATTTCCGTTCCGCAACTACAGACGAATGCTACTACTGCCCCAAAAGCGAGCCTCAGCCCGCTTCAGATAGAGGAGGTTTGACTTGGTTGTAGTTTGTATTTTATGTTTGTTGTTTGTAGTTTTTAGCTTGTATTTTCCTATGCACCTTCCGGGCCGAGGGCAAGCTAGCAGAGATTTCTGAAGGAGGATTTTGGAGGTTTTCAGGGCACGATCCGACCCGCGTCGCGAAGCGCTGGGACACAAACTACAGAAAAAGAGACTCCGTCGCCAATGGAACAAGAATTTGAAAACATTTCGAAGCGAGAGAAGCCGGAAGTTGAAGCAGGTAGAGAGAGAGAGAGAGAGAGAGAGAGTGAGAGAGAGAGAAGGAGAGAGCGAGAGAGGGCCAGAGAGAGTAAGATCTTTTTCCAGATGCTCCAGCTCGTCGTACCCTAAAAAAAGACCTCTCAATCGACCTGGACGGCCAGAAGGAAACAGATAACCCGAAAATCCCACAAAAATTAGAAAAAGTGAAAGGTAACTTCGACCAATTCCTCAAAAACGCTTTTTTAGACCGTAAAGCCTCGTCCGGGCCAACAAATGGTAATTCCAACGGAAAAATCCTCTCTCAACGACCAACCATCACGAAATCACGCAGAGAAGCCGACAAAAATTGTAACTGAAAATGGAAGGCCCAAAAAGAGAAAGATATTTAGCTCCAACGAATACCAAAAAGCCACAGAATCTCGGAACGGAGCAGGAAAATTCTGATAGACCCGCGCCGAGGAGCCGAAGTCAGCCGGAGCGGAGGAGAAAAAGTGAGCTTTAGGATTAGGATTGGGCTTGGTTTTAGGCTTAGGCTTAGGCTTAGAATTAGGCTTAGGCTTAGGTTAGGCTTAGGCTTAGGCTTATACTTAGCATGGGCTTGGGCTTAGGATTGGGTTTAGGCTTAGGCTTAGGCTTAGGCGTAGGCTTAGACTTAGGCTTAGGCGTAGGCTTAGGCCTGGGTTGAGACTTAGGCTTAGGCTTAGGCTTAGGCTTAGGCTTAGGCTTAGGCTTAGGCTTAGGCTTAGGCTTAGGCTTAGACTCAGGCTTCAGTCCCCTAAAGTTCATTTTACAGGAGCCACCTGGTTCACTGAAGACTTCGACGACCCGGATGTCGACGTGCTTTGCTTGCCTCCGATCGGAATCAGGCCTGAGAAGCTGGCTGAAAGGGTAGGCTAGCACCGAATCTTTGCGGAACCTGGCAAACGTGGTTTTGAATAGAGTCGTTATAACTCAAACAACAAACAACAAATTATTCAAACAACTCAAACAAGTTTGCTTTGTTTGAGCTCGAAAAGTTTCAAACAAAACAACCTTGTTTGATTTGAGTTCCAGGGGATCAAATCAAACAAGCTTGTTTGACTTGTTTGAACTTGTTTGAGCACCCTAAACTGTGAGATTTTTGGGGATTTTTGCTGGATCGGAAGCGAATTCAAACATTCAAAAACAAATTTTACCGAAAAAAATTTATGTAAATTGCGAAAATGCTGAAAAAGCAAACTTTAAATCCAAAATTAGCATATATTTCAAACAAGGTCAAACAAAACTCAAACTGCTCAAATAGTTCAAACAATCTTGTTTTGTTTGAGCGAACAACGGTCATCTCAAACAAAACATGTTTGATTTGAATCTCCAAAAATCCTATCAAACAACGTTGTTCAAACAAGATTGTTTGAGGCCTTGTTTTGCTTGAGTTATAACAACTCTGGTTTTAAAGGGCCTCGAGAGTCCATTTTTAACTCCTTTTTGCAGGGTGAGCTGCTGCTCTACGAGACCGAACGTATCCGGCGCTCCCGAACCACTCATAACTTTGGCTATCCGTCCCTCCGCAATTTGAATGCGGCCTCTTTTGATCCGGATTTTGATAATATTTAGATTTTGTATGCAAGTTTTCAACAAAATGTCTTTCCTTATCCTACTATATATAAAAAATAGTGTCTGTGTGTGTGTGTGTGTGTGTATGACACTTTGCATGCAACTTCCGTCAGCGTGTCCGGAGGATATCTCAAGAGGGAAGGGGCGTAAGGAGGTGTTTGATACGTCATTAGATGCGTCAGGGGCTGTAGATGACTGCACACACATCAGATTTTGTAACATATGTTGTTTTCGACATTAAAATTAAGTTTTTCGTAAAAATTCGGCCGCCCACTTTGTTAGGAGAAAATTAGCAGACGCCGGAAGTTGCAGTAGCCTAGATAAAGGCCCAAAGGGCTCATTTTTCATTTTTTTTGTCATCGGAATTGAGACACAATTATGCAAAATAAAGAACATCATAGGATTAGACGGGGGCCAGGGTTGAAAAGTCGCGAAGCGGCTTTTCAACCCTGGTTTTTTGTATTTACACGGTTTTTGGATGACATACCACGGATTTCCACATGCCAATAGACGGAATAAATATTCATAATACTGTTGCAATTTAAAGGGGAGCCAAGGAAAGGGAAGCCAAGCCAAGCCAGCTAAGCCAAGTTAAGCCAAGTCAAGCCAAGCTAAGCCAAGCCAAGCCAAGTTTGGCTGGACTCACAATCAGCACAGCCTAATTGAAACCAAGTCGGATGTAATCAAGCCCATATTTTAATTAGAAAATTAGCATCCCTGAATTTAACTGAATTTCCGTATGGAATACCCTCCAAAATCCTTAGGCTGCTACGAAAATCTCGCATCGCGCCGTCAGCATGAGCTCCGATGAGGCGAGTTTTTAAAGTTTTTTTTTGCGTGAACTTGCCGAAGATGCCGGACCCGGCCGCTATTCCCAATTTAAGCCGACCACAGAGGTCGAGCCGACGGTCGACATCGAGCCGTGCAAGGACTACAGCTACGCGGATCAGGATTTAGGTGAGGAATCAAAGAAACCGCAGCGCAGAATCACCTGAACTTGTCCGCGTCGTCGGCATCGCTAAGCTTGTCGAACTCAGCGATCTTTTTCGTTTCGTCGGACCTCCTCGGCGTGGTCGGCGCACGCACCCCTCAAAACACAGGATTTTCAGCCCCAATTATCACGTCAATCTGGAACTACATCTCCAGCTACCAGCTCGGCCACCGGCACAACGTCATCTACAAGAAGGAAGTGGTAGGAATTCGACTTCTATCAAATTTCTGTTCTCCAGATGTGCCACATCTTCGAGCAGGCCAAGAAGCTGATCGCCATGGAGCCGACGGTGCTCGATTTGAGGGTTGGTCGGAGTCGGAGCATGAGCATTAGCCTAAGCCCAAGCATAAGCCGGAGTTTGAGTAGGAGCATGAGCCTATTAAGCCTAAGCCTAACCCAAGCCGAAGCCAAGCCGAAGCTAAAGCCTAAAATCATCTCAGGGTCCAATTACCGTAATCGGCCCGCTGCACGGCGAGGGCGACGCGCTGATCGCGCTGATGTCGATGGTCGGCCCGCCCACTGATCACCAGTACCTCTTTTTGGGGAATTTTGCGGGTAAGACTTATTTGCACCCTATCACCTTTCTAGGCCTCGGCTACGCGTCCCTCGAGGTCATCTTCATGCTGCTGTGCATGAAGCTGAAGTACCCGGGGCAGATCCACATCCTCAAGGGGTTCCACGAGGATCCGGCGATGTTTAAGGTGAGGCTTGGGCTTGGGCTTAGGCTTAGGCTTAGGCTTAGGCTTAGGCTTAGGCTTAGGCTTAGGCTTAGGTTAGGCTTAGGTTTTGGCGTAGACTTGGGTTTCGGCTTAGCATTAGGCTTGGGCTTAGGCTTAGGATCAGGATTAGGTTTCGCTTAAGCTTAGGCTTTTGCTTAGGTTAGGCTTAGGCTTAGGCTGCAACTTACACATTTTTGCAGGAAATCGACCTCTACGAGAACATGCAGCGACGCGGCCTCTTTCCCGAAGAGCTGAGGAACGCCAACGACTTCATGGAGATCGACCTGCTGTCGGTGAGCTGCTACCGGGCGCTGCAGCTTGACAACGCGTTAGGAAACGTTGGCGATGCTGCCCCTCGCCGCCACAATCAATGGAACCGTGCTTTGCATGCACGGCGGTCCGGGGAGATATTTGCGGGAAGAAGGTATCTTTCTGACTCGTTCTCTCTCCTCTCTCTCGCTCTCTCTGCTCTCTCTCTCTCTATCGCTCCCTGCCTCGCTCTCTCACCCCTGCCTTCAGGACTCTCCCGCCTCCGCCAAGTCCAGCGCCCGCCCACCGCCGACCTCGACCTGAACCTGACCGTCGAGGCGATGTGGGCCAGGTTGGAGCTGGTCGGAGCCGCCGCCGCCCACGACCTGGAGACCGACATGCCCCGCTTTACCGGTAGGCCATGCGCATCTACTGCCTACCGAGGCTTATTGGAAAAATAGCGGATCATCTACAGTTCGCTGAAAAACCTAGAAAAATACTTCAAAGTAATGATAAAAAGCCCGACCCTGACCTCCTTGCAGACGTCGAGGCCACCCAATTCTGCCAGAAGAACCAGCTCGAGCTGCTGGTGCGCGGGCGACAGCTGGTCGACGGCGGGTTCCTGAACCACCCGAACGAGGTGGTGACGCTCGTCTCGGCCACCGCCCACCTCGACTGCTTCCGGAATCATGGAGCCGCACTTGGCTTCGGCCAGGACACCTCGCAGGTGGGTCGGCTGGATGGGGCTTGGGCTTGGGCTTAGTCATCGGCTTAGGCCTGGGCCTAGGCAAAGCATAGGCTTAGGCTTAGGCCTAGGCTTAGGCTTAGGCTTAGGCTTAGGCTTGGGCTCGAGATAAGCGTAGGCTTAGGCTTAGGTTCAGACTTAGGCTTAGCCAGCTTCGGCTTATTTTGCTTTCCGAAGCCGACGCTGCTTCAGGTGACGGTGATGCGATACGCGTGCGCCGACGCCGAGCCGGGCAGCCTCGACGAGCACAAACCGTCGGGCGGACGCAACAGCGTGCCCATCTAGCCGGCCCGGCCACCACTTCACCACGTCAATTAAGCCCTAAATATTTTTATGAAATGACCGAATTGTACGCGAAAGGCTACTCCATTGATTACAAAACGCATTGTATTGCTTTGTTTGCTTGGGAATCGCTTGTTAAGAATAAACTCTGAACACCTTCGTCTTGATGGATAAGGTCCCGGCTTTTCTCGGCACTATTTTTTATGCTCTTTCTGATGCGGCATTCAGAACGATTTTGCAAGGTTGATTTCTCGCGGAATCAGCCTTAGAAGGCACGGACGATCGGGAGCGGGTGTCTAGGTAAAACTTCAAAAAATCGTAAAAACCACAAACGCGATTTTGCAGCTATGCCAGGTAGCACATTAGAATCAGCGTTTTAAGCTGGTTAGAATGAGTCCAGGGCAAAATTCTGACGAGCTCGACTGGCTGACGTGAATTTTCGAAAACATCGACGTGGCGACTTTGCTCGAAAACGATAAAAAGTGATCACTTCGAAAAATTCTAGCAATTAAACCAGGGCCGCCCAGGTTTGGTACCAAACCTTTTTCGGCAAACCTTTTTGGCAAAACCTCAAAGCATTCTGTTTGTGAGCAACATCATTTGACTGGACTTTTCAGCGATTTTTAGGGCAGGAATCCGAATCCGAGTAAATTATGAGTTTTTCATCTGAACGAGCGTTGAAAACTGCACAGGAATTTTAGGAATCAAATATTTCCTCAGTTTCCCATTCCCCGGTAAAAGTGGCTAACTGGACGGTCCCTTTAAAACTTTCGCAACGTATCCAGTGGCCATGTTACGACGTTGAGTGGTGGATTACGCCGTTTTTTGCAGGGCCCCCTTTGCTGGGCCAGCTGTCCTCAGGGGCCTTGGGCGAGAGAGCAAGAGCGAGAGAGAGAGAGAGAGGGAGAGAGGGAGAGATGCTACGCAACGCGGCTCCTTTTTGCCGGCTCATGCCCTCCGGCTTCTCCCAGTCGAAGCCACGCCCCTTTTTGATGATACCCGCCCTCGGCGGCGAAAGCGACAAATTGGAAACAACAACAACAATTGATTTTCTGCAAGCCAGGTGGCACATTTCCAGGGCTATTTGCATCGCTTTTTTGCCATTTTTATTTATTTTTTTGTAATCCTTGTAATAATCGTAATTTAACGATTTTTAGGAGATTAGAAAAGTAGTGCAAAGGGGTAATCGACCAATTGATTAAGTTTTTTTAAGTTTAAAAAGTTTATAAAAATTTTGAGGCCGTGTTTTACCGAGGCACTTTTACATTCCCGACCTTCGCTTTTGACAAAATTTTTAGCAAAAGACCGGAAAAGTTTTTAGCCTGTGTCTTTAAGAGTTCTAAGAAACTTTTTCTCACTTTTAAAGCGTCGAAAATCATAATGTCGAAATTTCCTAATGTCGACATTTATTTTTGCAGAAGTTTTTGTAAAAGTTGAAAATTGAAATGTCGACGCTATGAGTTTCCACATCCTGAAATTTTCACCTTGATATTTTTCTTTTTGCATTTTAGCATTAGTGTGTATGTTTCTATATTTTTGGTTTTCGCCACCCACACTCAGAAAATTATAGGTGCCGCCGGGGCGATATATTGTTGTTTGCCAAGGCGCGGGGAAAACGATCCCCTTGGCGAAGGAAGGCTAACTGAAATTGGGCCAATTTTGGCCTGGCGAGAGAGCGAGAGAGGGAGAGAGAGGGAGAGAGAGAGAGAGAGAGAGAGAGAGAGAGTGGGTGTGAGAGCGAGAGAAAGATAACATCCCCAGAATTCACAGGTTTGTCCTGTTTTCTCTATTTCGTGGCCTTAAAGCAACGTGCCAGCTAGATCCTAACTTTCAGATGGACGACCCCAACAAACTGGTGCTTTGGCTGAGAGCCGGCAGTGATGGGCAGAGAATGGGAGGCGACCCGCTTTCACACCATTTATTTATGTTGCTGGTGCTCAAGGTGATACTCTCTCTCGCTTTCTATCGCTCTCTCTCTCTCTCTCTCTCGCTACAAACCAAATTTTAGGGCCAACAAAATTCGAACTTGGTCTTCGAGGTCCGAACGGTCAGTGAAGCGAAGCCAGCGCCAGATTTTAAAGCGGTAGGCGACAGTAAATCGCCGTAAAATCTCTCTCTCTCTCTCTATCTCTCTCTCTCTCTCTGGCCCACTCTCTCATGCTTTGATACATTTCAGGCCGGCCTACGCAAGCCGCCAGCAGCGGTTTATCAAGAAGAAACATATACCCATGAGGATGACATCGTCGAACTTCTAGAACGATGGACACCAAGACGGAAGCAGGTATGCTTAGGCTTAGTCTTAGGTCTAGGCTTAGGCTGAGGCTTAGGATTAAGCCTAGGCTTGGGCTTAAACGTAGGCTTAAACTCAAACGTCAGGTACGTCAATTTTCAGACTGGAGCCGACGACGCAACAGCAGACCTGTTCCGCCACTTCGCATATTTTATTAAGGACGTCAATAAATGTCCCCAGGTGAGAGAGAGAGAGAGCGTGGGCGAGAGAATGAGAAAGAGAGCGAAAGAAAGAGAGGAAGAGAGAGCGTCTTTAATTTCTTAGGCCCTCCTCGGTGAACTCCACCGACTTGACGAATTTCTCGGCAATTGCGGCACGAAATTTTTGGCGGGCGATGAGCCGAGCTTTATCGACACTGTCGTGTTGCCCAGATTGCATACAATTCGGATATCAGCGCAGGTGGGTGGGGGCATACTAGCAGAGATTCTTGAGGACACGTCGTTCCAAAAGTTACCACTTAGGCCCTGAAAGACTTCTCGATCCCCGACGACCTGCAGCATCTTTGGGCTTACCTGGGGGGCGCCTACAAACTACAACTCTTTACGGCAACGTGCCCCTGTGATCAGGTGCGGATTTTGAAGTGCTATGTCGTTTAAAGGGACCGGGAAGTGCCGAATTTGAAGCCTTTGCACCCGGAAAAGCTTTTTTCGCCTTCCAAGCCCTTTTAGAACTAGATTTCTACATTTTCTAGCCTTCATAAATTTTCTGGTTACACAGCCCATTTAAAATGCATTTTCAGTCTTTTCAAAACGTTAAAAAATAATTTTCTGCTTGCTTGACCCTTTAGAAAAAAGGTTTTCTTTTTTCCCCCGTTTTTTTATAAGTATTTCCTGACATTCTGGTCCCTCTAAAAACTATACTTCTCCGCCCACCCTGGGTGGGCCCCCCCTAGGGGGGACAGAGGGGGACTGAAAGGGGGATGGTGGGGCCCCGGGACCCCCAATGACCGTGCCCCTACCCCCTGAGGCATGAAGGTATGGCATCTACGAGTTCCATTCGCTATACCGAATTTTCACTATACCGAATTTTCACTATACCGAATTTTCACTATACCGAATTTTCGCTATACCGAATTTCGCTATGCCGAAATTTTGGTATACCGAATTTTCACCATGCCGAATCTTCGCCATACCAATTTTGATCAGCGGTATGTTCCCAATTTTTTTTACTGTTTTTTTTTCCAAATAGATGGGCCTAGAAAGTTAGAGTTAGCCTAGAAGTTTCCAAAAACGCAGGCAGATCGTGGGTCCCGTAGGCGCAGCAGATTTTCTGTTGCACCGCAAAGTCCCAGCCGATCTTAGTTATTAATATTAGTAGAGAATATTAGTAGTAGAGTAGCAAAAATTCGGCATAGCGAAAATTAGGCATAGTGAAAATTCGGCATAGCGAAAATTAGGCATAGTGAAAATTCGGCATAGCGAAATTCGGCATAGCGAAAATTCGGTGCGGGGGTGGGGGGGGGGGGGAGGGGAGGGGGAAGAATCCCCCCGGGGTCCCGGGGCCCCCACCATCCCCCTTTCAGTCCCCTCTGTCCCCCTAGGGGGGGCCCACCCAGGGTGGGCGGAGAAGTATACTAAAAACTATTTTATGGCTTCCCGGCTCCTTTAAAGCCGTTTTCTGCCTTTCTGGACCCTTTTAAAAATATTTGCTGCCTTCCCGGTACTGTAAAAAACATTTTCTGCCTTCCTGGCGCCTTTCAAAAGTATTTTCTACCTTACTGGATGCTTTAAAAAGTATTTTCTTTCACCTGACCCCTGTAAGAAGTTTTTGCTGTTTTCTCCGTCCCTTTAAAAGGTCTGCCTTGCCGGTCTCCTTAATAAACTTGTAGCTTTTTTCAAACCCAAGATACTCCCGCTTTTTAGGAAATCATCCTGCACTGGGCGGAGCGCCCGGACACCTCGGATATTTCCTCGCAACGCCGCGCCGTACTCTACCGCGAAAAATCGACATTTACGTTTACGGTACCCGGCGAGAGTACGGTATCCAGTTATACATAAAATATGCAATCTACCGTATCCCGGTGATCAACATAAATTTATTACAATTAAATATAGAAAAGAACCCGTCGAGAAGATACCATAGACACCAAAATAAGTACAAAATGACAACAATCAAAGCTGCAAAAAAAAACAAAAATAGAAGCATGTATCAATCGCTTCAAAATATAAACCAGAAAATTACAAAAATGGGCCAAAATTAGGGGGTGAAAATAAGAAAATTTTGAGCTAAATTTGCATAAATTTTGAGCAAAAATCAGCGATTTTTCGGGCTTCTAAAGGGGACCTTTCCTGGGAGGCGATTTTTACAGGGAGCCTAAGCCTAAGCCTAGACTTAAGCCTAAGCTGAAGCCTAAGCTTGAGCCAAGCTAAGCCTAAGCATAGGCCCAAGCCTGAGCCTAAGCCAGGCCTAAGCTAAGCCTAACCATAACCCCAAGCCTAAGCATAGGTATAAGCCTAAGCCTAAGCTTAAGTCAAAGCCTAAGCCTAAGCCATACGTAAGCCTAAGCCTAAGCATCCGCTAAGCCAAGCGCTCTTTAGACTCGCGCGAAACGACGTCCCAGCCATCATCAGGGTCGGCTGCTTCCGGACCGTCACTAGCTGGGGGAGTTAGAGGCCCCGAGCTCAACGCAGCTTCAGTAGATAACGCAGTGGTTGGGGGTACGGTAGTGATGGTTACGGTAGTGGGGATTACGGTAGTGGGGACTACGGTGGTCACGCTTTTCTGGGCGTCCATCATCCGCCCAAACCCATACCGCCGGTCATCCCACCTCTCGACGAGCAGCTGCGGCCGCCGATGCCGGCCGGGCCTGAAAAATTGGCTTAAAAATTGAGGCTAAAATTTGGAGAATTGCACCTTAATAAAAGGATCAAAAAATGCTAGAAAGGAAGCTAAAAAACCAGTATTAGCACTCAAAAAAATCTCAGAAAATGCGCGTTTTCAGAATGGTAACCAACAAAAAAGGCAAAAATCAAAAGGGTTTTGGTAATGGAGGTTAGTGCCGATCGATTAACGAATCTGTCGCTCTCTCTCTCTCGCCCTCTCTCGCTTTAGTATCATTAGTGTGCTTCAAAAACTCGACCACTGATGGCCATTTTGCGGGGCGTGACGCGCGCAGTAGTGGCAGCAGTTCGGCTGCGTAGCCGGGCAGTAGTAGTACGGGTTCCTAAAGACGGGGTTAGTTGGTGAGAAGTAGGGAGTAAATGGTAGTGCTGAGAGAGAGAGCGAGAGAGAGAGAGAGAGAGAGAGAGAGAGAGAGAGAAAGAGAGGGAGAAACTCACAGCTCAACCAGCGGAAATGCCGGCGGCCCTCCATGGCCGAGCGTCTCGTGATTCCGCCCGTACGGGTCGCTGACGATGGGCAGTGCACGGGGGAACAGTGTGTATAGGTTGGGTGAACTTGGCGGTGCCGGGGGAAGGGTTAGTTTGCTGGAATTAAGGGTTTTGTAACGTTCACATGTTAAAGTGAAGATAAAGTTCCGAAAAGTCGAAATTTTGATCAAAAAATGGCCGTTTTTGGTCGAAAAATCTATATTTTTGTATTTTTATAGTAAAATTTGTTAAGTTTTATGTTTAAGAATAGGAAAAACAGTTTAGAAACACTCCGGCTAATATTTAAACAAAAATTGGTTCCTAAGAAGAAATTTTCTTTCCCTTCCCACGACAATGCGAAATAACCAGGATTTAGCTTTGCGATAGATACCGTAATCGATTAGTACAGCTTCGTTTCTGGGCTTAAAAGTGTGCAAAATAATCGTTAGTTAGACTAAGGATAGTATCGTAGTAATTAGGAAGGTGACAAAAGTTAGCGGCACCTCGCATTATCCAGGAATAAATCCCGGAATAATGCCCACGCGAGAGGTTTGCCACCCGCTAACGTTGTTGAAAGAAAGACTGGACCAAAAGCGCGCGCGAACGGCTTATCAGTGATAGTAAATGTGCATCTGCTTAACCTGAACAAGTTTAGAGAAAGAAAACATTTATTAGTAGAGAACAAACGAGACTGCGTGTACAAAGAGAAAAGGAAACTCTGGAGGACAGAAATCTGTGAATAGAGCTCTGGAAAGGGTGAAAGAAGAAGAGTCTGGAATGCTGAAAGCCTCGCTGAGTCAACGGAGATCAGTGTCAGATAAATCTAACAACAATCCCGCTTATTCTCAACCAGTCGTAAACGACTGGCCGCAACGACCCCCAAAGAGGGGAGAAATTGCGAACGCGCCGAGAACAATTCTCTGACGGCCTCTCAGGAGAGCGCCGCCCACGGGGATGCGGGGTGGATAGGAGCGCCCCGTTCGCCCCTGCCGTAAACCAATAAAAAAAACCCTCGAAAAGTCCTGTAGAATCGTAAGATTTCTACAGAACTTTCGACACTCCCGGCCCAGCCGAAGCCAAGCCGAGGTGCGTGCGTACTGGATGGAGGCTTAAGCTTCACGCTTCTGGACTGATCTCTGAAAGACCAAAGTATTTCGCGTTCAGCTTTAGGCCTGCTGAAAAACGGAAACTGCGGGGGGGGTCTGCTTGGGTGGAAAGAATTAGGAAGTCGGTCTGCAGTTTCCGCTCAGCAAGGGGGGACCGCACGAGGTCTTTTTGGAATACATACGAGGGCGATTGGGACCTCCGCCCCACACAGAGAAGAACAGAGGCTCCCAGTATCCAGTACAATAGAGAGTGGTGGGTCGAGCTCTATCACATAAGGTGGTGGAGTGGGAGAATCCAATCTGGGTAACGGAGTACGATTGTGGGAACGGGAGGGCCAAAAAATATTGTAAGTTTCCTACGGGTAGGGGAAAAGGGGAGGGGAGGTTAACTGACCCTAAGGAGCCCGGACTCCTGTCAGCTAACCTGGGACAACGGTTTTTCGGCTTCGTTTCTTGCTGCTTGAGGTGGAGTTGACTGGAGTGGAGTGGAGCAACTGGACGGCGGCCGAAGAACCATTCTGCTTTAAGTGGAAGCTGAAGAACTGGATGAGGGCAATGCAAAACAGGTAATTTCTGCCCAAAAAATCACCAGCGTTGTCTGCTTGTAGCGGAGAATCAAAAGTCTGCTTAGAACGGAGGCGGGGAAAAGAAATCCCATGAGCCCTCGTAAGAAATCTGGGTAACGGATCTAAACAAAGTCTGGTTTAATTAAATCTAAAACAAGGTCTGGCTTAGGATGTCCCACGGGTGGGACGACTGTTACCAGCCTGAGAGCACGTTCTTTTATCTCGAACTAATGCTTTCCTTCGCCTTTTGGCGGGTTCTGAGTTCACAACGAAGGTTTGGTGTCCAAAGGGTAGGAGTAAATCCTTTCCTCGGAACCGTTCTTCGTTGAGTTTTTGAAGAAGAGCATTTTCGACATGGCTGATGCCACTGACGACTGGGCCAAATCGGTAATGGTCGACGACTTTACCGGAAGGTAACTGGATTGGGGTCCGAGAAATATCTCGGAGATGGTTGAGTATGCTCTGCCCAATGAGCATCGAGCATCTCACCATATGTTTTCGCTTTGGAGAGAACGGCAAGCTGAGACCTTGAAGCTCAAGAGCTTCGCGATCCGCCCGTTTTAGCCTCCAAAGCCTGACTTGAATTTCTGCTAACGTAGTAACGTCAACGGGGAACTGGCCGACTTGAGGAATCTCGACGGTTGTGAGATGAACCTCTGGGGTAACTAATCCGCCACTGAACTGTCTGATAGTTCGACGTTTTGTACCCAAGTCGGGGAAAGAAAACTGCTTGAAGAGATCCGGACTCATATAAGAGGCCGAGGCTCCTGTATCTAAGAAAGCATCAACTAGGATGATTTCGTCTGGATTTCCTGGGTGGAGGAGGGGAATCGTAAGAACCTGGAGTTAGGCCCTCCGAGGAGCGGTTAAATAGTCTGGGATTGGAGAGACTACATCAACCTTAGGGTTGATGTTCTCGGTACGGTTTCCACGGGAGGTCGAGGCCCCGAAAAAACTCTGGACCGCAGAAATCCTCATCTGAGGTCATGACTGCATTATAAAGGGCCTGGTCGGTTTCTTCTTCTTCATCCTCTTCTGAAGAAGTAACCTCCTCAGCGACGGTTGTGCGCCGTTCTACCTGAGGAGTAGCTGCATTGCGATAATTGTTTCGCTGCTGCTGGTTATTATTGGTTACTGGTCTGCTATTTTGATTCGAAGGTTTCTGGGGTGTTGCGGGAGCTGGGGTCTGGGTACGTGGGAGCGTCTGACTTGTTTGAAAACTCGTGGTCTGGTTAGAAGGCTGATACCGATGGATGGTCTGACTTGGCTGGTGGCTTGTGTTCTGATTTGAATTGCGATCCACTGCTTTCTGGGCGGGATTCTGTGCATTGGCAGTGGAAGGGTTCACCAACACCTGATGGAACTTGGTGTGGTGATCCTGTCCACATTTGCCGCACTTGACTCCCTCACAACCCGCGCAATTGTGATCGTTCTCCAAACAGATCAAGCACCGACCTTGCTGTAAGACGACATCCCATTGTTGCCGTGTTCCTTTCAGCTCCGCGCACAGAGAGGGCCGATGACCTCTCTCTTGACAGAAGGGGCACTGGGTGCGTTGAGCCTGGATCTCATAACGAGCCAACTGGACCTGACGTTGATTTGCAAAGGTACGAGTGTGCCCTTGCAACTGAATAACCAAATCCAACATGGGGGTGTTGGAAATGACGCCTGGGAATCGGAGAAGAAAAGATCGCCTGACTTCCTTGGGAAGCTTCTCAAGGATATCCTGCTTTGTACGAACGTCATTCGAGTTTGTATCTTCGAGTTCCCTTGCGGCACTGCGGAGGGTACCGAAGGTTGACTCGAAGTTCTCGAAATCTTCGCTGACTGGAGGCAAACTCAAAATGGATTTGAGCGCCTTCAGCTGACGTTCAGCGTTCTGGTAGAGTCCCTCAAAGAGCTGCAGGACTGCGTCATACAACCCCTTGGTGGACATCTCATAGGAGGCAACTGTCTGGGCTATGTAACCGGTGAGACTGCTTCGAAGAAGATCTAGCTTCTCGCCATCACTAAT